AAAACAAGTTACTGGACTCGGGGATGCTGACTCATGCCAACCCAGGTTGGAGGGCCTGATGTGTAAATCTGTCCATCCATTTTGGTGAGCAGAACAACAGCAGGCCAAGTGGATATTGTCTCGGCCGGGCTAGAACCCCCTCTCCCAGAAGGCCACCCAGATGGAAAGCCACAGTGTGTGAAGGCTTCCTGGTGCCCCTGGAGGGCAAGCCAGCAGGCGGTTGTGATGTTGGAGAGCATCAGATGCGGACGGCCTGCAGGGCTGGTTCCAGACCCACCGCGTGGGTGCACTGAGCCTCACCGGGCCCCTCTCCTCCAGACAGCACGGCACTCGCTCTGCCAGCATTTACTTCTCTGGCTGACCTCTCCCTTTGCTAATCCCACGCATTCCAGTTTTCATATTTAGCGTTACCAGTCAGTCCTTGCCAGCCTCTGTCTCTTAGGACATCTTTCTCCATCTGTTCTGGGTGGGCACTTCTGAGCTCCTGGTTCTTGGACCCCTCTGTACTGCGGCTTCCTGTTAATGGACCCTTCTTCCATTACAGACCCTCTCTCAGGGTGCTTCTGGTGGATGCAAACCGTGCTGCAAGCTCTCTTGGTGTTATTTTCGTAAATCTCCCTCACCACCCCAGGAGGAAGGGAAGCGTGTCTGTGTTTTTTGGGCAAGGCTACCTAGACTCAGGGAAGTGAAGTCACTTGCTCCCGGTTACAGAGAGGGCTGGTGGTGGAGCCAGGCTGTGGGTCTGGGTCTGACCTAGGTCTGTCCCCATCCTGCCACCCTGCAAGGGATCCATGAATGGCTGTGAAGTCCCTGACCCTGGCCTGCTCTGCGGCAGCACGTAGTGATGGGGGTCTTGCCCTTCCCAGCAGAGTCACACTTCTGACTCCTGCAAGGCGGCCAATACTGCCCCAGCGCCTTCACCTCTCTGGACTCCAGCCTGTGCCTCCTGCCAGGGTGCTTGACGCGCACCTTTATGGGCTTCCTGTCCTGAGGTATCAGGAAGTCAAGTCCTCCTGTCTGTCCTCTGCACAGTGCTACCTGTCCCCCTCTCTGGGCATTCGCTCACATGATGAATCAGCTCTAATGCTCTCCCTGCCGTCTCCTGTCTAAATTCTCCCGTTTGCAAAGCCTGACTCCACCTTGCCCTCCATTCCCGACTCTATAAGCCCTTCCTTAAGAACCGCAGGCCACGTTGCCTATCACCAGATATCCAGAATCTTCTAGGGCCTGAAAGGTACACTAAGTCACATTGTGCCTGCTGTTTAACTGTCTCCCAGGTGAGCATCACCCTCCCATGCAGCACCAAAGGAACCAGTACCTGCTTCTGTGGGGTCCCCCGTGGTGCCCAGCCAGCCTGGCTGCCCGTCAGCTCCGTCGGTCTGTGCTGACCTGGACCTGGGCAGAACCGTGCCCACGTGACTGGCTGTAGCAGAAGCCACAGCCAGGTTCTTGGCTTGTTTTCTGTGGCTCAGTGAGAGAACCATGCCGTTATCCCTAGCCTTGTAAAATAAGGAAGGATCTTATCATAGTTTTTAAAAAATATTATTTTTTTTTAAATTAGTGAAAAATTTTAAAGTTTAAGCGGACTTTATCTCCTCCTCATCCTGTTACACCGAGCCATGTGCATTGAAAAAAATTATTTTTCAACATTTTTTATTTTTTAAATGTTGTAAAACATTTATTTATTTTTATTATTTTTTAATCCTTACCTGAGGACATGCTTACTGATTTTTGAGAGAGGAGAAGAGAGGGGGAGAGAAACACTGATGTGAGAGAGACGCATCGGCCAGCTGCCTCTCACACGCACGCTGACTGGAACCAAGCCGTAACACGAGCCTGTGCCCCCAACCGGGAATCGAATCTGCGACCTTCTGATTTATGTGACAATGCGCCAACCAACGGAGCCACACCTGCCAGGGCCAACTCTAATGTTTTAAGTCAGAGAACATGTACAAACGACCCATGGACTGGACAATGGTGTGGGGATTCACTGAGGCAGTAGTGGGGGCCGGGCAGAGGAGGGCAAAGGGGGAAAATTGGGATAACTAATAGAATAACAATAAAAAAAATAAAAGAAATCTCCAAGTATAGTAGAAAAATTGAGAACTACTCTTAAGCAGAAAGAAGAGAAAACAATCATCAACACTCTTGCTGTCTAGAAACAACCAAAGTGACTACTTTGCTGAATTTTCTGTGTCAGTCTCTATAAATTGATCAAGATAGGGTCAGTCTTTACAGACTGTTGTGTATCATGCTTTTTCATTCAAATATTTCCCATCTTTTTTCTAAACTCTTTGGAGTGGATGAGCTGCCGTTGGTTTAACTAGCCCCTGGCCGTGGCCCTCGTTGGTGGCTGATGCCACCTCCTTGCGCCTGAGCGTGTTCTCCTTTGAGGAGAGTCCACTGAGATCGGCTTGAAGCAGCTGGGGTGGGGCATCAGGAGGCCAGGTGGGAGGAGAGTGGGTGGGAGGGACTAGGGACCCCTGGCTGAGGGAGTGACTGTCACTCAAGTCTCTTTTACTCTCTGGGTATCTGTAAAAGAGGAGATTGAATTACCTTTAAAAAAAAAATCCTCACCCAAGGATACATTTATTGATTTGAGAGAGAGAGAGAAACTTTGATGTGAGACTGAAGCATCGATGGGTTGCCTCCCATACACACCTTGACTGGGGGTCAAACCTGCCACCTCTCTGTGTACGGGACGATGACGCCCAGCTGAGTGAGCCACCAGGGAGAACAGATTGGATTATCTTAAAAGACTTCTAGCTCCTCTCATCTGTGGTTCTGCCACCACCAGGTCTTTACTGCCAGCAGGCTCTGCTAAAGACCCGGGCAGTGCAAGACTGGGGTATTTACTTAGGATTGTTCTCCGGGGAGGGTTCAGGGTGTGGGCTGACACCAGACTGAGGCAGAGAGGAGGAGCGGATGCGCCAGAGCCTCTGGGCTGTCACATGAGGGTTATGTGGACTCTGCTTCTTACAGCAAAAACATAGCGATAAGTCTGGGGAGTCTTTTTTTTTTTTTTCTTAAGCAAAGTTAAGTAGGCGTTTATTTTAAGGATTCTCCCCTATAGGCCTTATCTAGCATAATGGCCGACGGACTCTAGTGCAGGCAAAGAAGAGATCCTAGGCCAGGCGGACAAGTCTCACTTTGCACTGCGAGCCCCCTGGAGCAGTGGCTTTGTGTCCTGGCACAGTTGGCACTTGGTGTCACCCAAGCGACAGAGAGCCTTTATTTTACTGGGGCTTTAGGTGATCCCCATAAAGCCCAGGGTAATGATGTGAGCGGCAAGTGTTTCTGGGTGGGGACGAGGCAGCGAGAACCCAGCCCTCCCTCATGCTTCATCTTCCACCTTAACAGCAGCATCGGTCGCAGCAAACCCTCTCATTTGTGCCACGAGCTCCAGCTTATAAAGCATTTCACTCATTATCTACTTGGTGATGTGTAAGGGTGCTCGTGATCTGTCTGGGCCCCAGAGCTCTTGTGTGGTCTAGGGGGGCCCTTTGGGGCCCGTGATTCTGTCCAGTGCCCTTTGCTTTGGTTTGGGCTGGTGCCCCCCTGGAATACAGGGTGAGGGACTGAAAAAGGAGGTGAGGGGCAGGGTGTGTGCCCTTGGAAGTAGTTTGATGTTGAAGGGTAGATCCAACATCTGTCTGTCTGTCTACCCAACTGGCAGCTCCCATAGCGGGTGGGGTCAGGGAGGGACCTGCAGGTCTAGTCTTGATCTTTCTCATTTACATCCTGGCACGGGGTTGCCAGTTGGTGTCACATAAGTGACAGGTGGATTTGGAGGAAGGCTCTAGGCTCCTGGGTAAGGGCCCCCTGGTTTTAGTTCCAAACTTTCCTTTGAGGATCCAGCGATTGGGGTCAGAGTGGGTACTTTCTCCCTCTTAAAGAAAACAACTTGTGAGTTAAAAATATAAGTATATACATATTTAAAGTTATGCAAGTAATCCCAAAGTGTATAAAGTAAAAAAGAAAGTTCCCTCTCTTATCCTACCCCATGGAACCCTCTCATTTTCCTTTATCCATGTCTGAATTATTAACCTTTCTTAACAGTTTGCTGAGTGTCCTTTGAGATCTTTTACTACCTGCACACAAGCACGGCGATGTGGTGTTGAGGTTATTTTGTTTTTTATCTATGAAGTGGGATTGTGCCATTCTCTCCCCTTTTCTGTTTTTGCAGTTTGCTTATTCCACAGAGTAGCTGGGCAATAGGTCCTCGATCCTCCGAAATCTCACTTCTTGCTCCAGGGGGAAAATGACAATAGCCTGTCCCAGAGATAATTTCTTTAAGCCCCTTGCTCTTTGGGTGGGTCCCAGAGAGGTCAAGTGAATGCTCCATTTGTGGCCCACCTGGAGCCTGAGCCCAGCTTTCCCAACTCTCAGTTCGACAGGGCTGCACATGTGTTAAGACTGCCTTCCTGTCTTACCCTTCAGACCCATCCTGACAACCTCCCTGCGAAGTCAGTGGGGCAGGAGTTATTGAGGCTTGGGGCGTGAAGAGCCTTGCCCAGGCCAGTGCTGGGAGGGCCTGCAGCCCAGAGCTCTTTGGTTGAGTTCAGTTTACCCAGCCTTTACTGAGGGGTTACTGTGTGCCAGCAGCGTGGTGGGGCTCCCTGGGCCTGCTGTCATTGGATGGACAGCCTGGCCAAGGCCCTGCCTGTGGGAAGTCACTCACTGACTGTCCCCTGTGCTCTGGGCTGGACTCCCTAGAGAGACATTGTCCCTAGAAAGGGCCCACATTCCAGACCTGGGACAAGAAATTGGAGCTATATGGACACAAGGTTGTGGGAGAGGAGTCTATGACCTCAGTTATGACCACTAACCCCTCACTTCACTCTCTCTGAATCCCTCCCTCCCTCCCTCCTCTCTGTGGCTCTTTGTCCATTTGTCTCCATCTGTCTCTCTCTGCATGTGGTTCCTGGCCCTCTCGCTCTGTTCTGTCACACCATCGCTGCCCCTTTCTCCATCACATGTTCTTCTTCATGCCAATGCAGGCGTGCTGGTCACCATGACAACAGAGACAGGCCCCGATTCTGAGGTGAAGAAAGCTCAGGAAGAGGCCCCGCAGCAGCCTGAGGCCGCCGCTGCCGCTGTGACCACCCCGGTGACCCCTGCAGGCCACGGCCACCTGGAGGCCAACTCCAATGAAAAGCATCTGCCCCAGCAGGACACTCGGCCTGCTGAACAGGTGTGTGCCCGAGAGGTGGGCACCCCTCTTTCCACCCAGCGCCTTCTCTGGGGCGAGCCCTTAGGAGAGAGGAGAGGAGGGAAGGAGGGCTTGTTACTGACCCACTACATGCTGAGCATAGCGCCAGAGGCATTGTTTTTGTTTTTATGTTTAATTCTCCCCAACCTGAGAGAGTAGCTATTAATCTCCCCATTTTACACTTGGGGCAACTGAGGCTCAGCAGGATGAAGGGAGTTACCCAAAGTCACATTGCTATAAAGTGACAGAGGCAGATGTCGAATCTAGATCTGATTTCAAAAACCCATGTTCTTTCGACCTGAATTTCCCTGCCTGTCTGTTCTAGCCGGGCAAGCCCCATGTCGCCCCAGAGCACAATTTATCACCCTGAAGCTGCAGGGGACTTGAAGAGTCACCTAGCCATTGAATTCACACCTTCCTTAATTCATGACAGGCCCAGGTAGGGTAGGGACTTGGCCAAGGTCATTGAGGGTGTTGGTAGTACAGCTAGGACTAGAGGACAGGGATTAGACCTCCTCCCCCTCCATTAAATCACTCCACAAGTCCCCAGCGGGCCCTCACTGGGTCTCACACTAGCCCCAGTGACAGACCGAGGAGGAGACCAGATGGCTGCCCTGATAACTCATGCACTGTTCTCGGGGGCAGGACAGCTCTGGCCACTGGGTTTGGTTTTGTGGGGTGCTCTCGCCTACAGAGGCTGCCCCCAGCAGCAGGAGCCTATGGGAAAGCTGCGGACCCTGCACGTAAGCCACCCTGAGCTCACAGAAGCTCTGGCTCTCCTCCTGCACATGCCCACCACTGACCTGATCACCCTGGGGGCCTTGGACAGCAGTGGCTCTCATTTGGGGCTCTTCTTGGCCCCAGCAGCCTCCTTATTGCATCTCGTTGGGATGAAAGGTTCCGGTTTCCAGCCCATTAACCAAGCTTTCCCCCTGCTTGCCCCTGCAGAGCCTAGACATGGAGGAGAAGGACAACGGGGAGGCCGACGGCCTGTCAGAGAGGACCACGCCCAGCAAGGCCCAGAAGTCGCCCCAGAAGATTGCCAAGAAATACAAGAGTGCCCTCTGCCGAGTCACTCTGCTCGACGCCTCTGAGTATGAGTGTGAGGTGGAGGTAGGGAGCACCCAGCACCACACGCCCCGTCCCCGCCAGCTGGCCTCAGAGCCAGGGCAGGCTTCTGTGTGTACGCAGCCCGAGCAGAGCCAGAGGGGGTCCGTTCTCCACGGAGCCTTGGACGAACCACAGCACCCTGGGGAGATGACCTCGCCAGCCCTCCTTTGTACAGATGGTGGCACCAAGGCTGGGGAGGGCTGTTTTGATTGCCCATAGAATTAGATGGGGCACCAGACTGGCACCAGGCAAAGGTTTCTCAGAGTGGCTGTACCTTGGCAAAGAGCCACCATGTAGGGGCTGGTCTACAGCCCAGAAGGCATGGGCACCAGGCCCCTCCATGTGACCCAGCAGGCACTGAGGTTTCAGCGAGAATCATTTCCATGTATTTATTGGGCGGAGAGAGGGTTCTACCTCATGAACAACCCTGTCTAGGGCACCACCTCTGGTCTCCAGGATAAACTGGCCAGTTGAGAGTTCCGTGCTAAGGGTGTTGTCCCCCAGGCATGGGGGGTGGCCGTGTAGAGACCCTGCGGCATGGTCCTGTCCTGCCCTGGGTGGCAGGGCAGATGCCTCCTCTCTGGGGTCAGCCCTCCTGGCCCCACATTTAGCGTCTCTCTTTTCCTATATAGGCTTAGGCTCCTGCCCGAACTCTGAACTCTCACTTGGCCCCTCGGGTTCTTCCCTAGTCCAGACACCATTCCTGGCTCTCTGCCTGCGTATGGAAGAGTCTAGAGCTGGCCTTACCACCAAGCGTGACAGGGTCCACCTCCCCTTCTTCTCCATGTCCTCAAGGGAATTTGGCTGATTCCTGAGCGCTGGGAAGCTGGGTCCCTCTTATTTGCAGGATTTGTTTTTTTTTAATTAATTTTAAAAATATATTTATTTCTTCTATTGAAGCGTTTCAGAATAGACACCATGCCCATTTCTGGGCACAGTAAAGCAGTATCTTCCCCCTCGTCTCTCTTGCCCCCACTGGCCCAGGAGGCTGTCTCAGGCTGCCTGAGAGGGTGCAGGGCATTTGCCTGACGCCAGACCTCCTTTCTCTGAGGGACCCTTCCAGTCTCAGGAAGCTCTTTGCTTCCCAAAGCTGCTGGCCATAGTCAGGCCTGGTCTCAGTCCCCAGGACCTAGCCAGACCCTGCAGAGATCTCACCCTCTCTCTGGAAGCCCCTGCCTCTTTGAGTAGTGACTGCTTGTCACTTCCCCTGCCCTGCGATCCCTTTATCAGTGCTCACCCTCACCCCTGTGGGTTTGGGGTACCCAGCCAGGTTCTGGGATTTGGCCTTGTGCGTGACTCCTCAGGCCCAGATGGTGCTCAGAGAGGCTCTGAGCCCACGCGTATGGGGGTGGGGCAGAAAGGGGGCTCTACCAGGGTTGCTTCAAGCTGAGGCTAGTTTAGGCCCCATGAGCTCCTATAAAACCTCACTCGCTGCCCAGGCGAGGGGTGGCATTCCAGGTGGGCCACCCTGGGTTTCACTCACACTCAGTGTAAGGGGAAGGGCGAGGGAGGGTGAGCCACACTGGGAACCTGCATCCCGGGCCCGCCCCTGGCCCTCTGTCCACATCTTCACGTACTGCAGGCAGCTCTTCTCTTCTCACACCCAAAGCTTAGACTTCCACCCTCCGCTCTTTGCGTCCAAGTTAGTCTCCTTCTCTTAATCGCTGTAAAGGAAGGAGAAACCAGCCTTGGGAGGCTCCGTCCCTAGCCCCAAGCAAGCCCAAGGTCTAGGAGGACCCCAGCAGGGCTTGGAAAAAGGCAGCTGATGACCCGGGCGTCAGGGTCAGAGCCAGGTGGATGGGGAGTGCTGACATCTCTCCGGACACTGGGAGGCTCTCGGGGGTTTTCATGTTGTCCTAGGAGAGCCCGGGTTCTCCCCCTGCCCTCCCCAAAGTGCGTGTTCTGGCCTCACGGAGCTTTGCTCTCTTCTTCAGAAACATGGCCGGGGCCAGGTGCTGTTCGACTTGGTCTGTGAGCACCTCAACCTGCTGGAGAAGGACTACTTTGGCCTGACCTTCTGTGACGCTGACAGCCAGAAGGTGCCTGGGCCGGGGCGTGGGGCTGGCAGGGGAGGTCTGTGGTGGGGGAGACGTCTGCCCTCAGGACCCCGGAGTCCTGGTGGCCTCTGGTGGCTTCCATTGGCCCTCAGGCTGTCACTAGTCACCTTCTGTTTGTGCATCCCAAGGTTCAGCCAGTCCTACATTGTCCTCGGTTCTCTGTGTCCACTCCACCCCCCAGTCTTTTCTGGGTGACCTGAATGTCACCCCAGATGAGTCTCTGGAGAGCCAGCCATCGCTTCCCAGGGGGAACCGAGGCAGCTCCCCCTAACCCTTGGGAGGCTCCGTTCTGCGTTTCCCCTGGTTTCCCCCTTCCCACCAGTCCCACTGAGGCTGTATTACCTGTTCACCGCACTGCCTCAGGGCAACGCCAGCCTCAGGGCCTAGAGTCCCAAGCCCTGTGATGAATCCAGGCCTCGTTCCCTCACCTCCTGTCCCAGGGAGTTGAGCCCAGAAAGCGCAGCCAGGGAAGGGTGGCCCCTGCCAGGGCTGTCTGGGGCCACTACAGGGCGTTTCGCCCCCTTCCACCTACCTGGGTCCTCTTCTCTAACTTCCCTCTAAAGAACTCTGTCTTCTCTTGCAGAACTGGCTGGACCCGTCCAAGGAAATCAAGAAGCAGATCCGGAGTGAGTGGCCCGCAGTGGCTGGGGGCCAGGAGCGTAGAGGGAGGGCAGGCAGGGGCTCTGGGCCACGAGGCCGAGGTTGTGCCGCTCCGACCCACTTCGGGAAGCACATTCGGAGCCTTGAGTCTGTTTACTCCCCGTGGAAGGCCTTGGGGAAGGCAAGGCATTGGTGTATAGAGTTTGTAGATGAGGAACCTGAGGCCCGGACAAGAGACCTGACTGTCCAGAGCAGCGATTTTCACCCTCTTTCATCTCAGGGCACACGTAAACTACTAAAATTCTGCACACCAAAAGAAAAAAAAGTTTTGCCAACCTGACAAAAAATTGGTATAATATTGATTCATTCACACCAGACGGTTATTGTTGCGTTGGCTGTTGTCATTTTGCTTGACAGTCTCGGGGAAAAGAGGTCAGTGCTCATGGCTAAACAGGCATTGCGTGTTTTACAAATTCTTGCGGCACCGGTTGACAATCACTGATCCGGAGCCACACGGCAGGTTAGCACAGGGATCAGTGACACCTCCAGGACGTCAGCACCGGAAGGGGCCTGTGGGGTCATCATCTAGGACAAGGGGGCAAACCGATGGCCTGAAAACTGTCCAGGGCTGGTGAAGGCTTCAGGGATCAGCTCAGAATCTCTGCCCCCACACACTCTGGGCCGCTGTTGACTGACAGGGTTTAATGTGTCGGGAGAGAGCCAGGCCCATCCTTGATCTCGGCTATCTCCTGTGTTTAGCGGGATGGCTGCAGTCCAGAGAGAGGCAGTTATATACCCAAGGTCACAGAGCAAGTGATTGGCTGAGTCAGGTCTTGAGCCCTGGCTTTCTGATACCATCCTGCACTCGTTTTCAGCAGATGAGCAGGCTGACAACCTGTGCTTTACGTAGTAGGGAAGGGTCGGGCAGCCTTCAAATGGCGCAAGGGCCAGGGCTATGCAGTAGGTGGAGACCTGGAGCCTAAACAACCCTCCCCCTTGCTTGGACTCTCTCTCCGGTCCCTGGGCTAGAAGGCTCTAGCGGAGCCTGTTGCCATGACAGCAGGCATCTGGGCCTAGGGATGCCAGCTGACTCTGTGGGAGGGGGCTTGAGGAATTCTTCCCTTTGGCTCCTGTCAGTTGGAGACAAAGAGGGAGGCACACAGACAGAGCGAGCTCTTCTGGAGCCATCCAGGACCTGGGCATGAGCTTCAGGCTGTCCCCAGGAGCCCCAGCCTGGCTGAGAGGGCTGGCCCTCCTGCCTGGAAGGATCGGAGCACATACAGTGTTCAGTGTTGGGGAAGGACCCAAAGCTTAGGAAAGAGAAGCTGCCAACAGTGGTGGAGTCTCAGCTCCCTCTCCAGGGCAGGGAGTCCGTACCCTCCTGTCACCGAGGAGCCGTGCTGCAGCCTTGTATAGAGCCACAGTCTCTGTCCCTACCCGTGTGACTCCCACCCATTCATTCCGGTTCTGCGCTCTGGAGCCCCCATGGGGTGATTTTGTACCCCCTTTCTTTCTCTGAGACAGCTCCCCCAGCCTTCGGGAGGTGGCACAGGTCCTCGTGTCTTGGGCTTCAGAGTTGGGTCTGTTTCCTCCCGAATCTCTGTGGCTGTCCCCGAGGGCACTGGGGACAATGCCTCCACCTCTCTGGGCTCCTGCTTTTCCTTGGCAAGTGGATTAGTGATTCCTGCCTCACGCGGTGGGGATGACAGTTACATGACACATGTGTGGACAGTAGCTGGCAGATAGTAGGGGCTTTTCTGAGGCAGTGGCGTGGTGGTTAAAAGGAGGGAGAATGAGGCTCAACTGCCTGGATTTGATTTCTGACTCCATCACTGCTTCTTACATGAATGGTTTTGTGTCTCAGCTTCCTCTTCTGCAGAGTGGAAATAATAATGCCTACTCTCAGTGTTGTTGTGAGGATTAAACGAGGCATTAGGTACACGACACCTAACATGGTGCCTGCACCAGCAGCGTCCAATATGTATTAGTTGTTATTATCATTATTATTACTGTTATCATTTCTGAGACAGGGATTGTTTCCCCTGAGGCTTCCTTTTCCAGGGACTCAGCCGTGGTCCAGAGCCTGAGTTCTGGGCTTAGACCCCAGAATTAAATTCCATGCATTAAATTCCCATGCATGCCCATAGTGTTGTTAACAAAATAAGTGACCAGCGCTTAGTGAGGGTTGGAGACACAAGAGCTGTATGGTAAAGACGGTGATGACCACAGGGACACGGATTATAGTGACAGCTTGGCCTCCAGCCCTTTGTGACTCCTCTCCTGGGCGGGCCTCACTTTCTTACTGTCAGGGGTCTTTCTAGAGCATGGCGCCCGGAATGTTCCAGAGGTGGTCTGACCATTGTTCGGGACTGTGGCCTTTCACCAACACCCCCTCTGTGCCTCTCCCCTGTCTCCCTCCCGCCGCCACCAACCTCTCCCATCCTGAGAGGTCATCCCTCCTCTCAGCTCACAGAGCTAGTTTCCGGCTCAGACTCAGCCTTTATTTCTCCCTGCCTCCTATAGATGTGCCATTAATTTTTCATATCTAAATGTGGAGGTTAACATTTATCCCCGCGAAATGTTCTTTGTTACTTTTAGCCCATCAAATTTGCCTTTTAGGCCTTGTTTATAATCCAATTCTGTCATTTGAGATAGAGTTAAAGCGAGATAGAGCAGAGTTTTCCAAAGTGTGTTTCAGGGAACATTAATCTGCCTTATGAAAAATGGATACAGCGGGTCAAATGAGTTTTGGGAACTTGAAAGCTTGCCTCCTTTAGAGAGGTACAATTTGTAATGGCAGAGTGAGGGCTCTGAGAAGTCTAAACTTAGAAAACCTGTTTAATGTGGTACTTCTCAGACTTCTTCCCATTAGCGTCCCGCAGTGTTGACTTTGCAGAAGAGGAAGGGGCACGAGCTCTGGAGCCAGGTGGTCTCGGTCTGAACCAGCTGGCATCTCCACTTCCTGGGTGACTCTGGACTGGCCTCATTTGCAAAATGATAATCACAGGCTTTACTCATAGAGATTTAGTGAAGTGATGTGTGTAAAATAATGGTGTGCCTGGTGTGCACCATCAGTATCCCGTCTTTTTACTTTCCTTCCTGCTGCTAGTTCACAAGTCTCTTAACCGGGGCCTCAGTCTTCTCATCTGCCAAGTGGGAATGTCCCAGACTCCAAGATTAGAGACAGAAGGAGACTTTGAAAATTGCTGATTGATAGGATGGTTTGCCTGGGCCACTCACTGGGGTCACGGGGCCTCTCTGATCTCTGCCGAATCTTCTTCTCGCAGGCAGCCCCTGGAATTTTGCCTTCACAGTCAAGTTCTACCCCCCTGACCCTGCCCAGCTGACAGAAGATATCACAAGGTGAGAGCGGTGGAGGGAGGGGCAGGTGTGCTGGCCGTGGGAAATGGGGTGGTGTGTGACGGCACCTGCAAACTCAGATGCCCCCCAAAGCCAGGCAGACCCTGCCCACAAAGGAAGCTCAGTGCTAGAGGAACAGATGCAAACACAATGGTCAGTGGCAGGTGGCCCTTGGCTTCAGAGGGGGGTTGTCACAGGGAGCAGTGGGGACCTATATGAACCCAAGGGGACAGAGGCCGTCTAAGACAGTTGCTGTTCAACTTAGGCAATCATGGCCTTGTGGGAATTGGGCCCAATTTGAGAGTAAAAACCACAATTTTTAAACATTGTAAACTAATTCAATTAAAAAAAAACTCGGTGTGGGCATCTGTGGGTAGGACCAGCCAAACACATGTGAAGATCTGGGGTGCTGGGTGAACCACTGGTTTTTGGCTTTGGGGATCAGGAGGGAGTAGAGTGCAGATGCCTGTGCTCGTGGGAGTTTGGTCCTGGGCGCTGTTCCATGCGCGCATCTGGCATGTGGGGGTCAAACGATGCATGTCAGCCACCCCCCACGGAGGCCAGCCCGGCTGCTGGGTGCACACGGATTGCACGTGGCCTCTCATTGTGCCTCGGGGCCAGTAGATAACACGGCTTGAAGATTGAAAGGGGGTGCAAAGCATCTTCCAGGTGAGAGCTTTTACGGGGCTCATCCCACCTCTGGAAACCAGAACAGTGAGAGACCCTTCTCTTTATCATAGCTCATTCCAAAGACATAGCCTCACTTCACAATGTCCCGGGCCTTGTCCTCCTTGTGCTGGGCCCTGCCCATCCACCAACAGTAAGATGTGGACTTGGCCTTACTTCTACAGCAGGGGAGGGCTGTTGAGCCATCCTGTCCCTGCTATTGAGCCCCTCCTTAATAATATTGGCTGCCTTTTTGCCAGGCAATGGGCCAAGGTTAAGATGCTGACTTTGGCCTTGGGAGATAAGACGTTTGTCCCTGGAATAGATCTGGCTGGAGGCCTTGGCCTCATTAGCCCTGAGGTCCAGCTTGTGGCCAAGATTCTCTATCCATTCCTGGGAGGACTGAGAGCTTCGGACCAGCTCAGCCCCCACCCCTGTGGCCTTGCCCTCTGGTGCTTCTCTTTGTGCCAGTCCCTGGGCTTCCAGGGACCCCAGGAGGGCAGTTCACCTCGTCCAGCGTGGATGACCCCAGGGGATGGGGTGATTTAGTAGAAAATATCCAGGCCCAGAATAAACTGGTCAAAATGACAAACTGATTGAAATGAAATATCGATCAGAGTGCTTGGTGATGACTTCTGAAGTCTTAGACTTGAACAAAATGCTCATCTGTCCCCACTCGGTGCCTGTGATGTTGGAGCAGCCCCTGATTCTGAGCCCGCACCCTGGCCCTGAGCACACACTGAGGCTGCGCACACCCCCTGCCAGAGTTTCAGATCAGACTGCAAAAGAACAGCACGAGAAAATTTATATTAAATAAAAGCGACTTAAACGAAAAAGAAACCGGCAATTGAAAAAAATGGTGAAACATAGCAAAATGGGCAAGTAGGCATTGCTGGCAGGGAATGGACTGAAACTTTGTTTTTTAATAACAATAACCAAAAAAAGCAATAAAAATGGTTTTAAATGGTCCTAAAAATTGTAAAATCATCCAAGTGTGCATAAAAGTTATAAAAAATCATGGCCTAATGGTTGGAAATGTTTCTTTTAAACCAATTTATTTTTAGACAATTCACTTAGCACTAGAGGCAAAATAAAAAGTGTTGAGAAAACACTGGTGGGCAGGTCCGTCCGGGCGGTGGGCGCGCTGTGCGGAAGATAAAGTGAGTGAGGGCACGTCTCCTGTGCTGACCTGGGAAGGGCTCTGTGGCGCAGGGTTGGGTCTGCAAAGCAGGCTGGAGAGTCAGAGGCAGCTTTTGATACCGTGTGCACATTCAAAACACACACGAATCAAAACCAGGCGCAGGCCTGTGCGGCAGTGGAGGAAGAAGGTGTAGAACAGCACGGATGGTGGGGGGAGCTCCAGTGGAGGGGATTCTGAGAAAGCACATCAAGAGGAAGTCCAGACGCATCTCTAAAGTTTACATTTTTCCACAATCAGAATACATTCATTGTACAAACAAAAGTACATGACATTTTACGAAAGCGGTCAAAGTAATCCTATTTAGCTTGAAAATGAGCTGGAAATTGAAAAGACTTCCACACTAGGAAAAATCCTTCAAACTCAGATGTGAACAAAAATGCTTCGAGGCATATGAAATGGTGCAAAACATACCCGAATTACCAATGCACAAAATGCCAGCATCTTCTTGTTCTCCTGAGCTGAGGGGCAGTCAGCTTGGTTCTGATGGGGCCGGGGGCAGCCGTGCCAGAGTGGGGGCATCTCGGGAGGGAGGGGCCCCGTGCCCATGCCCGCTCTCCCCTATCTCCAGATACTACCTGTGCCTGCAGCTGCGGGCGGACATCATCACAGGCCGGCTGCCCTGCTCCTTTGTCACGCATGCCCTGCTGGGCTCCTACGCCGTGCAGGCCGAACTGGGCGACTATGACGGAGAGGAGCATGTGGGCAACTATGTCAGCGAGCTCCGCTTCGCCCCGAACCAGACCCGAGAGCTGGAGGAGAGGATCATGGAACTGCACAAGACATACAGGTGAGAGGGCCTCCACCCAAGGCCTCCCTAGAACCATCCCTGCCAGGCCCCCATAGGCAGTGCCGGAAGTACCCCACCTGGCTCTGCCGCTCATTTGAGGTGCAGATGTGAGGGTCAATCATCTCATCAGATTGGAATGATATATAGTAACTAGCTGTGTGACCTTAAATGACCTCTCGGGATTTCAGGTCCTAAGCTCCTCTTCGGGTGTGATAATTCTGCATCCTTGGCTTCTTAGAATCAGTCTCTTCACCTGACACCCGGAGACAGTAACTATTATGTGGCCTGATGTCTCGATCGTGGCATAAAGATCTTGCACTGTAAAGTCGACTGCCTGGGCCTTTTGGCGTGGCCACTTTCTAACAGGGGGGTCTCAGCCTTGTCATTTTACTTCGCTCTGCTTTAGTTTCTTCATCTGTTTGGTATGGACGCTATTAAAACTTGCCCTGGAGGATTCTTGGGAGGACTAAATCACCACATGCAATACTTGATTGTGCAGAGGAAAAGCACTTTTTTGCAGAAGCTTCATGATTAGCTAGCTAGTTACCCTGTCAGCCTCATTTTGAAAAGATTTTTACTTATTTTTAGAGAGGGGGAAGGGAAGGGGAAAGAGAGGGAGAGAAACATCAATGTGTGGTGGCCTCTCATGCGCCCCCTACTGGGGACCCGGCCCGAAACCAGGCATGTGCCCTAGACTAGGAATTGAACCTGCGACCCTTTGGTTTTCAGTCTGGTGCTCAATCCACTGAGCCACATTAGCCAGGGCAAATCAGCCTCATTTTTTACCTGTGTTTGTACAGACTTCAAATGTCAGTGTTTCTCAGCTAGCAGTATCTGGAGGAGAATTCATTCTGGAGGATGTGTGGCATCCCTGGGTCTCAGCCATTAGAGATGCTCTATCACCCCCTCAGTCACTGTAGTGGCCCAAATGCCCCTCCCCATTTCCAAATGCCCACCATGAGGGTGGTACCAGTCCCCTGGCAGGGAACCCCTGAAACTGAATGGTTTCTAAGGTCCTTTTAAGCTGGAAGTGCTTTGGGCTCCAAGGCCAGGGTTGTTATGGAAACCCAATGTGGTAAACAATGGGAAAGTGCATTATGAGCTGCAAAGTGTGGTGTGTGGTGATGTTATCTCATTGCTAATAAGGATGGAGGAAACGAGGAGGGTTGTGTCCTGGGGGCTGTGCCAGGAGCGGATGCCCAGGGCCAGATGTGGGGAAGAAAGCCTGCTGGGGTGTGACCGGGAATGCAGGGTCTGGGTGGCCGACGTGTGTCTCCGAGACTTGCACACCAACTCCAGTTGGTCAGCAGTGACCGTTGTTGTATTGTGCTGAGTGGGATGCTAAAACCATACAGCTGGTTAGCAGCCTCTGCCTGGCTCAGGACTAAGGAGCAGTGGCCCACCTGCCATCCCTTTGTCATTCCTGTTGTAGGTAGTTCGATGTGTGAGGGATTTGTGAGTCAGAATACAGGCGTACCTTGTTCTATTGCACTTCACAGATACAGTGCTGATTTCAATGCATTGAAGGTGAGACCCTCCCTCAGGGATTAGGAGTTGCTCAGATGACAGCACTGTTCTTAGCAATACAGTACTTTTAAATTAAGCATATCCATTTCACATACATAATGCTCTTGTGTACTTAATAGACTACAGTGTAAAGTAAACATCACTCTTATATGCACCGGGAAAGTAAAAAGTCTGCGTGACTCACTTTATTGTAACATTCCGGTGGCCCGGAGGTGAACCTGCAGGATCTCAGAGGTGTGTCTGTGATTCCGAGAAAACAGCTCAGGTTGCTCTGCGCTGCAGAAATGCCAACGGCCGTCTCGTTACAGCTCTTTCGACCTAGAACACATTGACATCTAGCGTCCAGATCCCACGCAGTGGGTCACCACGATGGACAGAGCAGAGGAGACTGAGGCCCAGAGGAGAAGAGACAGCTGTGAGAGTAGTGGTTGGGAACACAGACTCCGCATTCAAATCCTCACTTTGCTACTTTTTAAAAAAAGATTTTATTTATTTATTTTTAGGGAAGGGAGAGAGAAAGAGAGGGAGAGAAACACTGTATGTAGTTGCCTCTCATGTAGCCTCCACTGGGGACATGGCCTGCAACCCAGACATGTGCCCTGAGCAGGAATCAAACCTGCGACCCTTTGGTTTGCAGCCTGTGCTCAATCCACTGAGCCACAGCAGCCAGGGCCTGACTTTGCTACTTAATAGCTGTCTCCTTAGGCAAATTATTCAACCTCTGTGTGCCACAGCTTCCTTGCATGTACAATGGGAATAATGATAATACCTACTTTATAGAATCGTTTTGAGGATTTAGTAAGTTCAGACGTGTAAAGTGATTGGAACAGGAACTGCATGTGGTCCTTATTAAGTGTTCGCTGGGACTAAGTGTAAAACATGTGGTGTCTGGAAGTCAAAACAAGGGAGGAGCTTGGGTTACATGACTCTTCTTTCCAGAAAGGGGAATGGGCACCTGTTCCCCAGGGGAGGTTACGTGGTTTCTCATGTCATATTCTAAGATAAATATCTTATGTGGGTAGTAACTTAGGGGCCCCTAATTTATGATGGACAAAGTCTTCACAGTCATGGAAAAGCAGACTTTATGGCTCACATTTAACTGAGTGGCAGAATGAGCCAAAAATCCTGAGTCCCAGCCCAGCCCTTGAACACTTCCTGGAGGAAGCAAGATTAGACGTGAGCTTCAGCAGGAGAGTGGTTGGGCTGCAGAGGAGTCTGGGGGTGCACCATCGGCACCGAGAGCAGAGGTGGGGGAGGCCTAGCCCTGCACCTGCTCCCGAACATTTCCCTTCCCAGAATCACAGGGTCTGACTGTGGTCACCTTCGGGCAGCAGAACCCAGGCCTGGGCCCTCCCCGTGGCCACCGGTGATCATTTTCTTTCCCGTAGGGGCATGACCCCCGGAGAAGCAGAAATCCACTTCCTGGAGAATGCCAAGAAGCTCTCCATGTACGGAGTAGACCTGCACCATGCCAAGGTACCGCTGGGTCCCAGGGTCCCCCGAGCATCCTGGGGTGTCCCCAGAGAACTGCCATGTTCTCATGGAGGGCTCGGTGTGCCAGGCCTGTGTTCCTGGCAACCTAAAGCCTTTTCTGTTCTCATTTCTCATTCCTCAAAGTTCCATAACCTTTATTCTCCCACGACTGTCGTCATTTCCTCCTTGTGTTATATTTATTTTGGGACCTGTCTGTGCCGTCCCTCGATTGGGAGCATCATGAGGGAAAGCCAGGGCCTTAATTTACTTCTGTTTCCCGAGCGTGTGAGCACCTGGCCTGGCACCACAGATGCACCACCAAGCGTTTGCTGGGCGAATAAGTGATGAGCAAGGGCTGGGTGCATGAATGACGAAATGAACGAGAATGGCTGAATGGCTGGGCGAGGAATTGCTCAGGAGCTCCAGCATGGAGGCTCGGAGTCCACCTGCTTCTTAGGGCTCGTTTATAAGCAGAGCTTGGGGAGGGACTTGGGGGTCAGTGGCAGGTTGCCCCGGGCGTGGACGCCAGGCCTGCTGTTCCATGGTCTCTTCTCGTGTAGGACTCTGAGGGCATTGACATTATGTTAGGGGTCTGTGCCAATGGCCTGCTCATCTACCGGGACCGCCTGAGAATTAACCGCTTCGCCTGGCCCAAGATTCTCAAGATCTCCTACAAGAGGAGTAACTTCTACATCAAGATCCGGCCTGGGGAGGTGAGCCTGCCTTGGAAACCCCTCTTCCTCAACAAGTCGGCTGGACTGGACAGGGTCCGGGCAGCAGGCCCGGATTTCCCTGCTCAGGATGCCTGGATCGGGCGCTGGGATCTGGCTGTGGAGAGAGCCGTCTTCTGCTGGGGCTCTTTTCAGAGACGCACACACCTGAGCACACATATAAAGATAACCACACATATTCAGTGTGCATAGAGCAATGAATACATGTCCATGTCCCTCTGTCTGTTTACATGTAATAGTCAAGTATGTACACACACTAAGATACATATAGACACACAACCACACACACACAAACATGTATACATTTGACCTCCATGGCTCACCCATGAGAAGTTCCGCTTGGTTCTGCCTCTAGAATAAATGCAGACCCATCTGCTTTCCTCTGCACTGCGCCTGCTCCCAACAGCCACGGTCTCTCACCTGCACCTCTACAATGTCCTTCTCACTGACCTCACTGCCCCATGGTCACTCCAGGCCATTTTCCCGTAGCTGCTGAAGAGAGCTTGAAAGTCCTTTCCATCATGTCGCGTCACACTCACCCCTGCTCCCACTCCTTGCTTAAGTATTTCGAGAGCTCTCTTCAGCCTTTGGGCTACAGTGCAAACTCCGTCTGTGGCCACCTGCCTCCCCCACGTATCGCTGCCCCACTGCCCGTCCCATGCCCTCTGTCCTCCAGCCCCTTTGGCCTCCTCTGAAATTCTTGAATAACCAAGCTCTCCCCCGTCAGGAGCCCTTTGCTTTTGATTTTCCCTCTACCTGAAATTCTCTTCCACACCTTCTCAGGTGGCTGGTTCCTTCCCCATCCTTCAGATCTCTGCTCACCTGTTCAGAGGGCATTTCCTGCTCACCATTTGTGCAACAGTACCCAACCCTGCACCTACCCAGGCTTCCTCTGTCACTTCACACATCTCTGTTCATTCCCTTTATGACCTTAGCTGTATCTGAAATGATCTTGTGTACTTGTTTATTATCAAAGTCCCCTCCTCCCCGAATCTTCTGTCTGGATTGCCATGGTGTCTCTTACTTTGCACAAGACCTATCACAGAGTGAGAGCTCAGTCCGCCTTATTGAGTGAATGAATGAGTCAATGAATGAACAGGCCAGAATCACACATACTGAGAAGACGTTCAGAAAGGATGGCTGGAGGCGAGAGGGCCGGGTCTTCCTTCTTACCCACCCCCTTCGGTTTTGCAGTATGAGCAGTTCGAGAGCACCATCGGCTTTAAGCTCCCAAACCACCGGTCGGCCAAGAGGCTGTGGAAGGTCTGCATTGAGCACCACACGTTCTTCCGGTGAGCCAGGCCCTAGGGCGGGGTGACCGGCGTTGTGACAGAGGCCTCGAGTGTATGTGTGGGTGATGTCTGTGTTTTGTGAGGGGAGAGCAGGAGAAGCTAGTAAGGACCCTGGGAAAGACCAACCCCCCCCTCCTTTCTCTAAGTCTCCCCATTCCTGGACCACTTAGAATTGTAGCTGGTGGGACAATGGGATAAAAGGCCAGCTGTGGTCCAGCCTTGGGCCCGGCAATGCAGGTGTGATCCCCCCTCTGCACCTCCATTCCTCCGCTGCAGGCTGGTGTCCCCCGAGCCCCCACCCAAGGGCTTCCTGGTGATGGGCTCCAAGTTCCGGTATAGTGGGAGGACCCAGGCACAGACCCGCCAGGCCAGCGCTCTCATTGACCGGCCCGCACCCTTCTTCGAGCGTTCCTCCAGCAAACGGTACACCATGTCCCGCAGCCTTGATGGAGGTATGCCCCGAACTGGAGGTGGGGGAAGAGCGGTGTTCAGAGGGAGGGGGATGGGCGTGCCAGGTGCAGAACGAGCAGAGAAGGTGGCAGGCACAACACAGGTGGATTTGCGCTGGGCACGGTGGCCTGAGAGGTCTGTTGCACCTGGGCGGCTCTCGGTGGTTTAGCTCCAACCCGTGGCCTCACTATTGCTGAGATGTGACATAGCCATTCCTGGACTTCCTGTGACTTCTCTGAGCCTTTTGGGTCCCAGGTTTAGCCATATGGTTTTTGGGGGCCCCTGCCCGGGGTGCTTAGTGATTCACAGGCGGTCCTCATACCGGGAGAATGCTGTATTGCCACCGCAGCGTGGACTTGGTGATGCCTTCCCTGACTGGAGGCAGAAGGCTTGTTCCTACTCTCCTGGTTTTGTTGAGCCGATCGACATCTAACCGCATGGCGTGCTCCTCTTGGGCGCACAGGCGCCCTCAATAGCAACCAGAACTGGCCCTGCATTTTCCTGTATCAAACAGACCAAGGCCTCTCAAAACGAGGCCCGTAGACCTGCACCACAATCACCTGTGAGTTCTGGGAAACACTCAGATTCCCAGGCCCCCGCCCAGACTTACTAAAGCGGCACCCCTCGAGGCCAGGACTCCCCCCAGTGTGCACAGGGGGGAGTTTGTAGGACAGGGTTAGAAGTCACATGGGGCACTGGAGAGATCCAGAGTTTGGCAAATCTGAGTTTGAATCTCAGCCTTGACACTCAGCAGCTGCTCTGTGAACACAGGACGTGTCCCCTAAACATCTGAATGAATGGATGGGGGTCCTTGATCAGCTCAGCTCCCTGTGCCCTTTCCTCGTCTGCAAAATAAGGAACACCGCTTTGCTCTGTGCTGAGATAATACCTCTACTGCGCCCAAAACAATTCCTGGCACATAGTAGGACCTTAGTAACTAATACCCTGATGAAAATAAAGTAAATAAAATAGAAAAATCTTCCTGTGAAAAATAATGGTGCCCCCCAATAAAATAAATAAAATAATAGTGCCCAATAGTCAACTATTGTTTATTGTAGCAGTAATAAATTATTATTGCTTTTAAGTTTGTAGAGGGTGGTTTATAGGGCAGAAGGGGGGCCTTGAGTGGGGAAATAGCGAATACTCCCAGAACACACTGGGGCAGGCCTCTAGGCAAGTAAGTTCCACTGAACAAATATTTTCTGAATGTTAAAATAAATACAGCCCTTTCCTTCAAGGAGCTCCTAGAATAGTAGTATTGTGAGCCCTTCAGGTGATTCAAGCAGTGGGAGGAATATGTACAGAATACAGAGCGGCCTTGAGGAGAGAGGGATGCATTCTGTCTGGGAGGAGCAGACAGGGCTCTGCAGCGAGGGTGATAATGGTCAGGGCTTTGAAGGATACCTAGGAGTTTTCCGGGCGATCAGGGCAGTCGGACGCTTTTCCTGCAGTATGAAGGTGAGACCTGTCCCAGGACTCACTGGCCATTTACGAAAGACATGCAGTTTTGCAAGAGTCCATTTGTGGCTGGGGAAGCTCCTTATTCTCCTTGAATGGCCAAGGGCTGAGAGCTAAGATTGGCCATACATCGCCATGTGTAATGTGCTCCCCTGTATGATATGAACCCATGTTTTTGGCCCATACTTTCAGGAAAACTTTTGTTTTAATTGTTTGATCCAACGATTGATTTATTTATATTCAGAAACAAAACTGACTATTGTATTCCAGGGTATTATGTTGCATATGGATACCATCATTGCTTTCTAGAGTTACACTTTAATGCATAAGCACAAATAAAAGAATTAAAAACATTTATATAGATGCAGAATTCATACTACCCATGTATAATGGGTACCCTTATTTTTTCCTCAAAAATTTTGGGCAAAAAAAATTACGCATTACACACGGCAAAATGCGGCATGCTGAAGGACAGGAGGGCCCCCGCTGTCTCTGGCCCCCCCACAGTTTTCATTACTATGCCAGGGGCTGAATGAAGCCCAGGTTGTGCAAGGCAGGAAAAATTGGCCCGTGTGTGGTGAGGCTCATCAGGAGGGGCCCGGAAGCCTGGACTCTAAGCCAGTAGGCCTGGGCTCTCCTCCTGATTCACTCAAAGGTCCCAGAGCCCCTCCTCTGTGAACTGAGGATAACAGTTTCCATTCTAGCCATCAACGCAGAGCGTTGGGCGGCTCAGATGAAATGGTGTGCATGATGGGCCCTGTGCTGAGTAAACACGTACGACTGGAAAGAATAATTCTCTCCTTTCCAATCTAGGCCAGTCTCAAGGATAATCTGTGCTTTGGTCATTTTAATTCAGCATTTCCCAGCCCTTTTTTCCTACCAGGACGCAATCCATGAGCATAGTCTGGGCTATGCCCAGAGCCTGGTGTAAAGGGTGTAGTTCCACTTCTTTGTTTCCTGCTCGGAAAAGTGCTTTAGAAAAGTGCCAGCAAGTGAGAGAGGTGTGTTATTGCAGGGGTCCCCTCGGGTTAACCTCTCACAATGTCCGTGTATTGCTCAATAATGGTCAAGTTAGTATTCTGCCGCAAATGCCACAAGAAAATCAACATTTGTGGGCCAACATTGATCGAATTGGCTCACTCTGTGCCAGCCACTCCTCTAAATACTTATACACATTAGCTTATTTGTTTCTACCCCTCCCCGCAGCTGTCTGAAGTAGGTATTGTGTATAGATGATAAAACCGGAGGCCCTGGGGAGGTTGTGTAACTTACCCAAGGTCGCACAGCCAAGAAGAGATGGATTCGAGCTTTGAATCTGGGCACTGGTGCTGTAGATATCAGGAGGGGGCCCAGGGCCCAGGGCTGGGAGATAGTCCACGTGACCTGGGGAAGTCCACTTCACTTCAGTGGGGCACTGGCTTCTGTCCCCAGTGTGCTGGGGGTGTGGAAGTGCCTGCTCCACTCCAAGCATGCTTGAGCAAGTGCACCTGGCAGGTGTCTCACACGGCCACCTGGCTGTTTCTGCCCCTTTAGCAGAGTTCTCCCGCCCAGCATCTGTCAGTGAGAACCATGACGCAGGACCTGATGGTGACAAGCGGGAGGAAGATGGCGAGTCTGGGGGACGGCGATCAGAGGCTGAGGAGGGAGAGGTCAGGACCCCCACCAAGATCAAGGAGCTAAAGGTAGGAACCTGGCTTTCTCATACCCTCTGATCCTGTGTTTAGCCTTGGCCTTGGCCTTCAGGTGCCCCGGCTGTGGCCGAGTGCCCTTGCTGTGGGGTGCACCGAGTTCTGGGCCTTGCCCTTGGGCCATGTTCAATACTTGGATATACCCAGGTGTGGGGGGCATGCTGCCATCCTACACCCCCCTTTTGCTCTGTTTTCCTGGAGGGACACACTGTCCCCGAGGGGACTCCAGCTTCCTCTTGCCCATTCTGAATTTGTCTCTTTGACTACAGTTTGAATCTGCACAGCCCCCTTTTCCCCCAGAGCATGATGGGCTGTTTCCGTGGGCCCTCACAAGTGTCCCCCTCCTGTGACCTGCCTCCATTTCCCACACACCTGCGCACACACTTGTGCAGGCACCCACGGCCTCAGACTCACAGATATGCACCCCTCACCCGTAGGGTCACGCACCCTGATTTTCAAACAGCCTGCAGGCGGGCACGTGCACACGGATGGAGTGTTTCCATCACGCAGCCCCACTGGGGGAGCACAGGTCCCTGAGCACACACACTGACTGCCAGCAGCAGCAATGCCCAGAACCCTCACTTCCATCTGCTCAGCTGACTGACTGCTCACTTTGCCTCCAGTCCTCCTGCCCCCTCTTCACCTCCCTGGGCCAGCTCCCCATCACACACCCCCCACCTCTGACCACTCACTGCGCGTGGGGGGCCCACCCAGCTTCCCTGGCCTCTGTTGCTTGGGCGAGAGCACTCTGACCTACCTGCTGGACCAGGTCGGTCGCGGTGTCTCTAATCCATTGGCTCTACTGACCCTGCTGGTTCCTTTCCCTCCTCCCACGCCCGCTAGCCGGAGCAGGAAACCACGCCGAGACACAAGCAGGAGGTACTGCATGGGGCCTGTCCCTACCACCCGGCTCATTTGTCACCATCCCACAGTCCATCCCAGGCTCATCTGGTGCCACCTCAGCTTTAGCTCCATCTCTGCTCCCTAGCCGTCCTCCTCCCCATACCTTCCCCCCAGGCCCATCCCCCACCCGACTACCCTCAGCCCCCCTTGTTAAGTTCATCTCTCCAGCGTCCTGCTCAGACTCCACCCCCAGCAGTGTTTCCCCTCCCTCCTGACCCCCCTCTCTACCCAGCTCCGCTCTGCCTCCCCAGACCTCCCTCACTGCCCCTCACCCCTGCTGACTGTCCCGCTTGTGTTCCCCAGCCCTTCCAGGCCATTCTGTGCTTTCAGTGAGCTCATCTCGCCCTCAAGCCCTTTCTTTGACTCATCTCTTCATCTGTGTTTCTTGTCCCCTCACCCCAAGCTTCTTTTTTGTATCTGTTGGCAACCTCGTGGGAGGGGTGGGAGGGAGGAGCCTCGGAGCGCACCCGTCTTTTCTCAGATTCTGTTGCCCCTCCCTCTGGGCGGGGCCTGCTGCTGCTCCAGCGCTGTCAGGAAAGCCTCCTCCCTTTCTCCTGCCCTCTTGCCTTTTCCTCCCCCCCTTGTATCTTCTCTCAGCTTATCCCTCCTGTGTTAGCTACTTCTCCTTCCCTTTCACACCGTCTCCATCTCTTCATCTGAGCTTCCACTGCAAAAGTGGATTTATTCTTGGGCCCGAGGGGAAGGGTCTGAGGCTGGGGAGTAAGAAGGGCCTGGCCTTGGAGTAAGGTGGTCTGTGTTTTAGCCCTGAGTCTGTGACTGATGCTTTGAGGGTCTTGGGGATGACCCCTCAGGCCCCAGCTTCCCATCTGCAAGTAAAACTTTTGGACTAGACTTCCCCAAGGCCCTTCAAGGATCTCAGGTTTCCGCCACCCACTCTGGCCTTCGGGAACACTGTACGCCCACACAGCCGCAGCAGCAGGTACAGGACAGACGGTCACAAGACACATCTCGGGTCCTTTGCAGCCCAAACCCACGCCCCTTGCAAACTCCATCAGGTTGGATTTGTCAGACATCGTCTTGACGCACTCAGCTCAGGAAGGGATGCCAGAGGGACAGACAGGTGTTTAGAGGCAAAGCAGAAGCCCCAGTAATATCAGTTTCCTTTCCGAGGTCACCCGGAATCGATCCTAGTGGATCCTTGGATGCCAGAGATAATCCCGGGGGAAGAGTCTAGCTTGTCCAAGCACAAACCTACCTTCCGAGTAGTTCTAGAACCATCCAAACTGACTTTCTAATAAGCTAGACTGTCCATTTCTTGTCCTGAATTGAGTTGACATGAATCCTCAACGGCCTTACAGATGAGGGTCCTTGGACTACCAGCCCACTGCCCTGCCCCCAGAAGTAGGCAGACAAGCAGCTCTGGCAGGTCACTGTCATCTCCTGTGCCAGGGCTGCACTTCAGGTGACCTAAGGGCAGGTTACTCTGCCACGATGCACTGGCCAGAGCTGAAACTTGGCAGTTTAATGTGGAACACACCTATGACTCCAGCTATACCTGGCTCAGTTCTTGCGTCCAGCCTTGGACTTACCGCTCTTCTTCCTGGTCTGTAATTCTCCTGATCCTCCTGAACACCCGACACCATCCTAGCCTCTCTCTTCAGCTGCATCTCACCTTGTCTGCTGTTGAGGACTTGGTACCCATAAGGTAGCTAGAAGATCCAGGGTAGTTGGGAAAGGTAGTGGCTGTCAGCAGAGAAAACCGAACACAGTCTTTTTCTGGTCCCTGATTCTTGGTGTGGGAGCAGAGCCCATTTTACTGGATGTCCCTGGCTTTAGAAGGGCCCCACAGGGCTTGATTAATGGCATATTTTGGGCAGGAGAGACCTAGACTGGGGATCCTGTTAAGCACAGTGGCTCAAATCTTGGTCAGAGGTGGGGACCAGGGTCTGGGAAGCCAAGGGGGGGCGGTGCAGAGCTGCCCAGTGAAGAGGGTTGGCGAGTTCTCACTGTACCTTGGTTGTAAGCGAAGGGAAGCCACCTCTGTGCCTAGAAATGGGCTCGTGGCGCCGAAGGGAACTCGCCCAGACCTGTGGGAGTTGGTTGGGTTTGGGCTCCAAGGCCAGCAGCCAAACAGGGGAGAAGAGAAGGTGGCGCTTGACCACAAGTCTCCCCTTTTTAATCTCAAGTGTGTTGTGCACCTGTTGGGGCTGACATCCTGGCCCTGCTTGGCTAGAGAGGTGCTGTGAGAGTGATACCGGGTCATGGATGGGACTCACCTGCTGATACAGGACAGCGATGGTGACTGGTGACTGCCAGCATCTTCACCACACCCCGTACCCCATCGCAGAGCTGGTCCTCTAATGCCTGGCTGTCCTCTCCATCCATCCCTAGTTCTTAGACAAGCCCGAGGACGTCTTGCTGAAGCACCAGGCCAGCATCAACGAGCTCAAGAGGACCTTGAAGGAACCCAACAGCAAACTGATCCACCGGGACCGAGACTGGGAGCGGGAGCGCAGGCTGCCTTCCTCGCCCGCCTCCCCCTCCCCCAAGGGCACGCCCGAGAAAGCCAGCGAGGTAGGTCTCCCCCCAAGCCCCTTGGCGGGGGGCCTTGGGAAAGCGGGGGCCTTGGGAAAGCGGGGCGGGGAAGGTTGCAGTGTGCTGACTCACCGTCAGCCTCCGCACCTGTGTGCTCCTCCCCGCTGCTGCATACGGGGCGGTGGGGCTAGGATGGCGAGCTAAGCTGAGGAAGCCAGAGTCACTAAACTGGAATCTGCAGTCCCAGGGACCACTCCGAAAAACTCAAAGTAGTCTGGTGTATTCCCCTTCCATCAGCCAGAGTGTGATGGGGAAGGAGTGCTTGTTAGAAATGCAGGTTCTGGGGCCTCACATCAGACCTCCTGAATGAGAATATAGGAGGCAGAGCCCTGGAATCAGCCTTTGAAACAAGTGCCCTAGGCGGTTCCCATGCACACCAGACTTTAAGAATCAGGGCAGCTCTGTCCAGTGACCAGACCCTTGCATGCCTGTTGTAAAAGCGCAGATCGGGAAGTGTTCTCTCCCAGAAGGTGCTCAGAGGCCACAGGAGGGGAAATAGGGCCTCCAGGAAAATCAGAGCTACTCCTGTTGCCTCAGAAAAGGATCCCACGTGACCTGCCTGTCGAGCGGAAAGCAATCAAACAAGAGAAAGACAGGCTCGTGAGAATTCCTGTGCTGATAATCCCAACTCGTTGTTGTTAGCACTGCAACATCTTGGCAGAGTTTGCCCCCATTTATACTTGAGTGTTTTCTCCCTGGTGCTGCTGCTCACTGGGCTCCAACCCACCTCCCAGATTTGAACTCTGGCTCTGCTGTCTGCAAGCTGGGGGCCCCCGGGCCTGTGACTGAGCCCCACTGAGCCTCCATTAGGTAGAGGTTATAGAGCAACATTTCTGCTTCTTAGGAATGTTGTGAGGAGCGAACGAGATCAGGCACGGAGAGGCCAGCAGAGGCCCGGTGCTCAATACTTACTGTTTCATTTCGAGAGCCCTGGGTCTCACTCAGAAGGTAAACTTTGGAGGGATCCTCAGAACCCACTTGGCTCAAGGTCATCCCTTCACGGATGGGGCTTTGAGGCCCAGGAAGGGAGGAACTTTTCCAGTGTCATAGTTGATTGATGAGGAGCCAGAACCTGATTTTCTTGTGTCCCAGGCATATTAAATCACAGCTGTCTAGACGCAAGGCCAGACCAATTGAAGACCAGACACAGGGTCAGTTGCGTGCCTGCTGCCCCCTAATGCTTCGACAGTTGGTGATGCAGCCATGACTGAATGAGCAGGGTGCTCCACTGACTCAGCACACCCCACCCAGTCGATGAGGGCCTCGTTCAGTGAGGCTGCTGTGGTAGCTCCCTGGCTGGTGGTTCACAGAGCTAGGGATGACTTGGGGGTCTTTGAGACAGTGCCATGGAAGGAAGGCACATCTCTGCATCTACCAAGGGCTTCTGTGACCATCTTTGATGCAATCGAGACCCTGAAGGTGCTAAACTGGGCTGTGGGGGCTGGTCTAGTGATCCAGTTACACGCCCCACTCCTGCCCTGAGACACTTGACCTGTGTGGTCTCTCTTCAGTCCTGAAGCCGGTGAGGTGGGGTGCAGGGACTTCTGAAAGGGATGGACTCCAGCAGAGGAGAACTGGATGAGCCCTGCTCTGGAGCATTGGGTGGGCCTCAGCGAAGCCTGGCTTGAGGGGGTGCTCCCCCCTGCTGGTGGAAGCAGGAACTGCTAGAAGATGCGTGGAGTCTGTTCCACCACCTATCTTCTCACTGCTGTCCCCAAAAGTGTGGCCCACTGCTGGAAAGAAGTTTGCTGGAGGAGCTCACCTCGAGCATTGAGAGGCCCTTGAAGATCTGGGAGATGGGGAGGACACTTTGCTGGGGACTGATCTGAGTCCTTGGGCAAGTGACCTCACCTCTCTGAGCCTCAGTGGCTAGTCAGTCAGTCTAAAGGGAACCAAAATTGCCACTCTTTACGGTTGGGTATTTGGGAAGATTGAGCAAAATAGTAGATATAAACATACTTTATAAACCGGGGGGTGCGGACAGTCACGAGACCATTGCTGATGGTGGCGAGAACTCCCGTTCCAGGTACAGGCTTTGCAGGGCTGTCCTTCAGGGGGTTTCACCCAGATTTTCTCAGAGCGTCCTCATATGCTATAGAGTTTCATCTGGGCCAAGAGGGAACAGGAGGAACTTCAACCAAAATAGGGACCCCAAACTATAGACAAGAGTTCCCATTTGCCAAGCCGGGGTTTCCATGTCAAAGATAAGTTCTTAAAAGGGCCTGAGACCCAAACTGTAGGATTGGACCGTGGTTTAAAGTAAAGACACCCAGACAAGACTTGGAACCGGAGTGCAAGTGACATGCCTCCAAAACCTCTTGAATGAGAACAGGCAGGCGACGGGCAAAGTGCTGGCTGGCAGCCGACCCCTTGACTGGCTTGGAGGGGCAGTTCCCTTCTTTCTCACCCACAGTGCAGCTCCTCCCTGACCTCCCCTATAAACCCTAAGGATGTGGGATTTACAAAGCGGGGCTATTTATGGATTTATGGACTCTGTGTGTGTGTCTCTCCTGTTCTCTCTCTCTCCCTCTCTGTCTCTCCTTCCCTGCCTCCCTCCTTCCCTTTCCTCTGGCCCTGGGCCTCCCCCACAGTCCCAGAGGACCCAGGACACCTCTCAGCAGGATTTGGCACCTGAGCCTGGGACGGCCACAGGCTTGGAAGTGTTCACTCAGAAAAGCCTCGCAGCGTCTCCTGAGGTTACTGTCATCACCTCCCCTCCTACCCAGGACCCCCCTAATGGTCTTAAGAAACCCCTTTCTCTGGGGTGAAGGGGGTGGGCCAGCCTCTGCCGTGCACGTGGGAGCAGTGGGTAGCCCACATGGTCTCCATGCTGTGACAAATGAGCATCCCCGTTCTAGCGATCCACACAAAAGGCAGGCTGCTCCCTCATCTCTTGTGTCCCAGGAATTGGGACTGAAACCATTCAGGGAACATAGAACAGCTCAAGTCACCTCTGGCTTCAGAGGGAGGCAGAGATGATCTCCCCACAGGCCAGGCAGAGGCAAGTGGCTCTAGAAGCAGGCTCTGCCTTTTAAGCTTGGAATCTGGGGTCATAGCCCCTGTATGCCTTCTACCCTAAGGTCTTGTTTCTGTTTGGAAGCCTGAGTAAGGTCTAGCCATTGCTGGTTGGAGGATGGCATCCCATCCATCCCCACCTCTTCTCTAAACTCCCCTTGGAGCTTGGGTCACTCAGGGTCTCCAGACAACATACTCTGTGGGCATCTTGCTCTAAGGCGTATCCTTGGGGTTACAGGGATGTTGTCAGGCAAGCGTTCTGAATGAGGGCATTGCATCTGCGCCCAGGAGAGCAGCAGGTCAAGGGCTCTGGGAGCTTGCTGTGCCCCTGCCTGGGTGCCAGGTGGAATCCAGGCCCAGGGAGCAGGGGCCACATCTCCCCTCCCTGCCAGCACCTCACAGACTGTCAGGATTGGAAGGTACTGACCGATCATCTGGGTGAAACTCCCTTCCCCTGACACACGACCCTCCTCTGTGGGCACAGAGTGTGAAGGCACACACCTTTCTCAGTTCCCAGAGAAGAATTGTGTAGCTGCCCAAAACATGGGGGAACCATGGAAGAGAAACGAGTCAGCTACAGTAGTGGTAAAACAGACAGTTGTAAAAATAAAGACAAGACTATGGGCACTCTCTTGAGAGAAGTTGGACAGGAATCAGCAGCATGCCAAGGTTAGGGCAGCACTGCTACCCTGAAGCACAGAGATGCCCCTAGAGCCAAGGACAGATGCCCGTCCTTGGAGCAGGGGCAGCCTGCGGCCTTCATCAGCGTCCCTGAAAATTGTCCATCCGGCCCCTCTCACGGAGGGAGTTCTGCCTGCCCTTAATGGCAGCTCCTTTTGTCTTCAGTCCTCCATGGTGAAGTTTTCATATGAATTATCTGACCTTCTGAATCACCTGTCTGTGGGCCTCCCTCTGTCCCCAGGCCCCTTAGACCTGCTCTCAAGGCCCTTGGGAGTTGAGCACAAGCCAACCCTCTTTCTTCAATAGTTCCTCCCAGGGCATAGCTTCTAGAGGGCTCCTTGTCCTGGACACCTCCTCTTGGCCCAGAATGTGACCTAGAGCTCCAGGTGGCGCCTGAGTGGCCTGGAGTCAGCACAACTGTCTGGCTGGAGATTTTCTCCTTGCCTGTGTGGGAGCAGAATGGGATCCTCTTGGCTCCCAGCTTCTGTCCTCTGGCTGTCTTTCCGCAGTGCCTCCATCGGACAGCAGAGGGCGCTCTGAGCAGGCTCTGAGCGGGTGCTGAGGGGCCCAGCTCAGTGATGGCTATGGGGCTGGGGCCCCTGACATCTTCCCTTCCTTAATCCCTACGGCCCCTTGTGGCTCTGCCAGTGTCATGGTGCCAGTGAAGCGTTTCTCCTTTCTGTCGAGTCTTTCCTTATGTAGGAAAGTAGGTTCCTACACACCGGCTTTCACTTGTTAGAAGCAGAACCTCGACCTCCCTCAGTGCTCACTGTCATCTGTGCCCATGACCTCCTGCTGGGAGGCCTCTTTTCCTTCTGAAATAAGGGGAACAGCACGAGTGTCACAGGTTGCCACGTGGATTAAATTTATTGTATTTTTTGGACTATAAGACACTTTCTCGCCCGCCCCCCCCCCGCAAATTTGAGAGGCAGGAGGGTGCATCTTAGAATCCAAATGTAGTGTTACATTGGTGAAATATTATGTTATTTATGTTATTAAATATTTTATCAGATTTTTTGCTTCAAAAATTTTTCCCCTATTTTCCTCCTCTAAAACCTAGGTGTGTCTTATGGTCCGAAAAATATAGTACTAACTCAGACCAGCGATTTTTCACCAGTGTGCCATGAGAAATTTTAAAACATGCAGCACCTGGCTATTTAGTCAGGGGCACGGACCTCTTTTCCCTTAGGTTTTCAAATTAAAACATGCCAATAGCCAACACGATAGCCGTCCGGTGTGAATGAATCAAAATCATACCTATTCCTTTCGTTAGATTGGCAAAAAAATGCATTTTTTGGTGTGCTGCAGAATTTCAGTAATTAATTCACATGTGCCATGAGATGAAGAAGGTGGAAAACTGCTAACTTTGACAAAGGGCTGATATTCCCTGGCACAAAGTCACTAAACATAAGTACATTTCCCTTTCTCTTCCTATATAGTCTTTCTGTTCTGGGCCAGCTCCCACCCCACTCAGCCAGGAGGCTTCCAGTTCCTAACTAGGAACTAGATGCGTGGAACAATGCGTGGGAGGGAATGAACAACTTCCCTCCCAAGTTCCCTCCATTCTTTTGAAATTGCTGCTCTGTGCCCTGGCTGGTGTGGCTCAATGGACTGAGTTTCAGCCTGCAAACTGAAAGGTTGCTAGTTTGATGGCCACCTTAGAGCAGCCCAGGTCCCCAAGTTCAACTTGCTAACTAGTTTCCAGTTAGACCTGGGGCAGCAGTGTCCCCGAAGGGGCTCATGGGCCATCGCTGGCCATCCTTCCACGCTGAGGATGTCAGTAGAAGCCGAAATGGGAGCAGCTAAAGACACCTGCTTCTCAGGTGGAGGAAAGGAGGCCTGGCATCTGGAGGCTCTCGGAGCACTTCTCTCCGGGAGGGTTCAGGTGCCGTTGTCCTGAAGGTTCAACAACCTGAAGTAAAACCCCAGAGCCCGTGCCTGGCTTGCTCTGGGACTTCCCCCTTCCTTTCATATCTTTTTCCGTTGGCAAGATTCTCTTAGTGAGGTTTGCTTCCCTGACAGTCACGGAGATTTTGCTGAAATGGGGTGGGGGAGTGGAGGTAAGAGGTTAGTTACACTGTTCCCTTGATCCTTCAGAATCCTTTAGATCCTAGGGGATCTGACAGACTCCTCACCAAGTCATAACCTGAATCGGAGCCCAAGGGCAGGCAAACCCCCAGCCTGCTGTCGGGAGCAGTTTGGGCACCTCTTCCTTGGACGTACCTCACAGGGCTTGGAGCGAGAGGCTGCTTGCAGGCCTGCCTTTGCCACTAGCTCACTCTCTGACCTGGGACGTGGTGCTTACCTTCTCTAGGCCTCGGTTTCCACGTCTTTACCATGAGGGGCGTGCCTCAGAGCAGCGATTTCTGTTTCTTTTTTTAAGATTTTATGTATTTATTTTTAGAGAAAGGGGAAAAGAGGGAGAAAGAGAGGGAGAGAAACATATGATGTTGTGAGACATACATCATCACATGTGAGAGAGACATTCATCGGTTGCCTCTCACATGCCCCCAACTGGGGGCCTGGCCTGCAACCCAGACATGTGCCCTAACTGGGAATCAAACCAGCAACCTTTCAGTTCGAAGGCTGGAACTCAGTCCATTGAGCCATACCAGCCAGGGCACAGAGCAGCAATTTCAAAAGAAGAAGGCACCTTAGAGCAGCCCTGGTCCCCAAGTTCAACAGGGCAGCCCCACATTTGTATTACATATTAGGCTTCATGAAGATCTTGTGTAAAGAAGTTTTTGGTGGCTGTAAGATTAAAATCTCAATGGTCTTCTTGCTTTTGAATGATTCTAGAAGTTGTTCATTCCCTCCCAAGCATTGTCCCAAGGGCTGTGGGGACTCAGAGGCTGTTGTGTCAATGGTGTGACAATACTGCCCTCTTGTTGGTACTTTGGACCCTCAGCGATGCCTGAATTCTTAGGTCGTTTACTTCTGCGGTGTATTCTGGTTAGTCTTCTTCCACTCTTTCTGTGGATTTTGTTGGAATTTTCCAAGGACAGGCCATGGTACCTGTTTCTTTGGGAAGGAACCCCGCAAAGATCAAGCTGTTCAAGCCACTGTGGTGACCGGCACCAACCTCTTGGGCTGGTCGCTCGTATTTCTCATTCTAATCTCCTTCCTTCCCAGAAGTTCTTGCAGAAAGGTACAATTTCAGGCCATGGCTCATGGAATTTAACTCAATGCTTGCCATCAACTTGGCATCAGGTCACAGTTGGGACACATATTCCATAGGACGCATATTCCATATTCCATGAGCTAAGTTAGACAGGATCTGAGGCATCAGGAATCAGGCGCTCTTTTCCTGACTGTACCATGAACTAACTGTGACCTCGGGTAAGTCACTGACCTTCTCTAGGCCTATGTTTACCCATTTGTACAAGGAGGAGATTGGACTGAAGGTGTCTTAGGAGTTCTTTGGGCTCTAACAGTCGAATATTCCATGTAACATCAGCTACTTCCCCCTCTGACCGTGGCAGTTAGATCATTGAAAGAGGAAGGGGAAGAGTCCTGGCTCACCCATGGATCTTTGCTTTCCCCATGGTTAACACAGGGAGAACAGGAGACCCCATCCCATTTTGCCAAGTTGGGGTGGTGGTTTTAAGGGGACTTGGCAAGTAATTTGTTGGTGCCTTGATGGGCAGAGGAGCCTGGGAGAGGCTGACGGGCGTTGTCATGCCTGCCTCTCCCCAGCCATTTCTGGGGATGGACATGTTGACCTTTTGGCGGTAGATTGGTCCCTTCTTGTAGAGGGAAAAGGTGATCCATTCTTCAGGTGCCATATTTCACGTTAACCTCTTCTTGCTCCAATTGAAACACAGGGTTCAGAGCATTGGGTATTTATAGAAAGGAAGTACGCTAGGCCAGAAGAACTCAGTCTTCCAAAAGTGGCCACCATGCAGCAGGAAGAAAGTGAGGCAGGCCTCGCAGATATCCTTGCTGATGGAAGACTCTCCAAGGTGGACGTCCTGGTGGACAAGTTCAAAGTTGAAGTGGCCACAGAGGAGATGGTGGGAGCCAGAAGAGCAAACACCCAGCACAAACGAAGAATGATCGCAAGCCCTGAAGACTTTGAGTCCATGTGGGAGGAAGGCCCCTGGGTCAGGGACGGCCCAGAGGGGGCTTCTCCGGCTGCAGGCTGCACGCTGGCAGAAAAGCTCCTTGAGGGCTCCCAGCTCAGGGTGGGCACCGGGGAGGCAACCATCAGGAAGCGCCGGGTCTCGGGGCAGATGGAGGGCTGCATAGAGCGAAGGAAGGAGCTGGAGGAGTTCCAGGCTGGTGAAAGACCTACTGTCTCGGGGACCAGGCCAGCCGAGGCGGATGTCCCCTCTCCAGCCTCTGACAAGGAAGGACTTCAGTCGTTTCTGCTGGACCCAGCCCACGCTGAAGCCAGAGCCGACTCCAGTGATGAAACAGATACTTCCATTGCAGAGAGGAGCTTCTACTTCAACTACGGGGAGGAAGATGTTGAAGACCAAATCCTCCCTCCGCTGCTGGAGGAGAGAGAAGAGCACCTGGAAGGCCCTCCCGGAGGCAGGACTTGGCTGGAGCTCTCCGAGGAGCTTGCAGAGAGCGCTGCGCTGAATTCCTCAGACCAGTGGGGCTCTCCTGCAGCTTCCAGAAGGAGCAAGTGTGAAGCAGGTGAAGCTCACACAGCTTTCTTAGAGGAAGGGGTGGGGCCCCCCAGGGACCACGGAAGACCAGACCATCTGGAGGCCTTTCACCAGCACGGTACTGGATCTTTTCCAGGGCAGATGTTCTCTGAGGACTGGGGAGAAGCGGGGCGGGGGGTGGAAGGAGAGTTCACCCACCCAGCATCCACCGTCACTGCGGAGGAAGAGGCCCCCAGGAGTCAAGAGTTGATGGGAAACGCTGAGAAAAGTCCCCCAGCAGGATGGAAGAACCACTGGCCTCACAGAGGAGGGGGCGTGTGCCCAGACCTCCCAGCCTGCACCCCTCCGTGGAAACCAGCCAAACTGGGCGGAGGCAACTTCTTGCCCAAAGACAGGGGACCTGCTCACATGCATACAGGAGAACCTGTGATGGAGGACAGCAAGGTTAAGATGCCATTTCTGCAGACGGAGGTGATCAGCCCCCTCCCAACCTCTCCTGGTCCCCTTCAGGCTCAGGCACCTCCTGAAGAAGCTTCTCCGAGCCCAGTCCCCCCTGGGTCAGGGGAGCCTTTGCAATTTGGGGATCCCTTTGGAGAACAGTCCCCTGAGTTTCTCAAAGAAAGCCCAGAGCCCAAGCACCAAGTAGAGCCTGTGGCACCTTCGCACAGAGGCACGCGAAAGGCACCTCCCGTTGCCAGCAGAAAGCCCAGAGTTGTCCTTGAGGAAGTTGAGGGGGCTGCACCCCTGGGGTTGGGGCTCCCTTCAGGGAAGCCAAAGATGACTCCTTTCCAGGCTGGGGGCCAAGAGGGCTCCCTGGAAGACATTAGCAAGACCTCAGTGGCCAACAAAATTTGGATCTTTGAGACCCATGGAGCGGAAAGCCGTCGAGTGAGTCAGGGTGAAACACGGGCCCTTCCTCGTGAACTGCCTTCGGAAGCCTCCCTGGGGCAGGTAGAGCAGCAGCGGAATAAGCTTTTAGACCTGAGCTTCGTCCAGCTCCAGCCCCCGGGGGATCTCACCGGCCCCAATGCCACGCATTCTTCCTCAAGGATGTCACCTGCTACCAGGCACTTCAGGGAGGGTGTTTCTACCACATCCCACCAGGATGGATGCATGGAACTCGAGCTCATGTCCCCAGATTCGGGCTGTGAAACTACGCTGGAGGAAACTACAGGGGGAGCTGGCCACGTGAGCCCCTGCCCCCCACCCCCCACTGCCCCGAGCCGGTGGAGTACCGCATGCTGCGTAGCTTTCTAGAAGCATGTTTCAGTGGCTCCTCATCATTAGTGCAATCAGAGGCTGCTTGTCCATCCCTGTGAGTTCTTTTCCCTAAATGGGCCTGAATGTAGTGCAAGCAGAATGCAGGGTCATCTGCTTAGCCCGTGTGAGCCTAGCCACAAAAACCCTCGAGGGCCACACAGACCCAGCGGAGGAGGTGGCACAGCCGCCAGCAAACCACTCTCTTGCTTTGCCTCGCTGCCCCCACCTGCTGGGTTCCTACCTGTTCGCTTGGCTTGTCCAGCAACCTTCCTTCCTTCCTTTCCCTCCCCTGGTTCTCCTGCCTTGGGGAAGTAGACAGTCCAGAGGTTTCCATCCTTTACTGGTGGTTGCCTCTCCATCCCAGGGCCAAGTACCTTTCTACCTCCTTAAGACTAACTATCCTCTCTAATCCAGAACAAATCCGGAGACACCGTCAGGGAAGAGAAGCGCGTCACCACTTTAGCAGCAAACGCCCCCGGGAAAGGGGGGCACCTGAGATTCGCCAGCCCCTCAGGCCCTCAGGTCTCTGCAGCCCCTGGGTGCCCTGATGACCCACCCAGTCACCCTTGTGTGGCCAGGGTGCATCGCTGCCTTAGATTCCCACCTGCTCTGGCAGTGCTTCCTGCGTCAGCTCAACTCTGGCTTGTCTGAACGTGTCCTCACACCTCTCAACCTCCCCGAAACTGGCCAAATGGACGCTTGTTAAGCGAGTGAATCTCTAAGTGCACTGAGTCTCTAGAACCTGAAGCCAAGCACTTTAAAAATATTTGGTGGGTGTTCAATTGGTCTTAAAAAGGAGTGTCATGAAGCAGCCCCAAATGTGTGTATGGTGTTTAACCCCTGACAGTCCAGTTGAGAGGTATGTATGTCAGACAAGAGTCGCTGGTTCCCCTCCAGCCTTTCCTTGGCCTGCTGTTGTCAATTGCACTGATGGGACCGGAACCTCCACCTCTCGGCCTGCCCACCGGCCCACTCACAGAGCTCGGGTGGAACTGATGTAGCACCCAGCTCCCAGGAATTACCCCGTATTGTTCTTCCCTCAAGATGACGCTGATCCCTCCCGTGGAGACTCAGTGGAATTGACAAACCATGCTGGCTTCCTCTTTGTTCCCGAAAGCTCTTGGCTCTAGCCTCTCTGCCTCCCCCGCCTGGGTTTCCTGGTCCCTGGGTCTCCCTCCTGGGTTTCCGTCTCTCGGCGCCAGCCTGCGTGGATGGGCCTGGGACCTGGGCTCCCATCCCTGCCTTGTGAACAGTGCTGCTTCTGACAAGCTCCCAGACCCACATGCTGGGTGGAGCCTCCTGTCCGGGAACCAACTGGCAGGACGGCTGCTTTGTACTTGCTTTGCCAGCGTCAGGAGACCCTCGGAAAGCAGCAACCCTACTCTTGAGGAGTTTTCGGGTTTTTTGGTTTTTTTTAAACTTATTATGGCATCAAGAAACCTCTCCTGGGGTGTTTTTTGTTTCCCGAACCGCTCTTCCATTTGGGACGTCGACATGGCCCCAAGATTTCTTCTGTCATTCACCATCTTTCTCTTTTTGTCTCTCTCTCTCTCTCTCCCTCTCACTCCACACCCCCGTTCCTTTGATTTTATCTGGCCATAGAGAGCAGGGCTGAGGGAGGGCTCGGAGGAGAAGGTCAAACCGCCTCGTCCCAGGGCCCCCGAGAGTGACACAGGAGACGAGGACCAGGACCAGGAGAGGGACGCGGTGTTCCTGAAGGATAACCACCTGGCCATTGAGCGTAAGTGCTCCAGCATCACGGTCAGCTCCACGTCCAGCCTGGAGGCTGAGGTCGACTTCACCGTCATCGGCGACTACCACGGCAGCGCCTTCGAAGACTTCTCCCGCAGTCTGCCTGAGCTCGACCGAGACAAGAGTGACTCAGAAACGGAGGGCCTGGTGTTCTCCCGGGATCTCAGCAAGAGGGGCCCCAGCCAGGACGACGACTCCGGGGGCGTGGAGGACAGCCCCGACCGAGGGGCCTGCTCCACCCCGGATATGCCCCAGTTTGAGGTACAGTGGAGCACCGTGGAGACCGGGCCCGGCAGGCATGCATGCATGTTCAGAGGGCCCCGGGCCGCCCGTGAGAAGACCGAGTCGCCAGCCTGCAGCCCAGATCCCTCAGCCCGAAGCCATGTCTCATGTTGCATGACTGCCCCTCCGCAGAACAGCATGGTTCTGTGCTCGCGTGTTTGCCATCTCGGTTTGCCCCTAACTTGCACTCCTTGGCATTTTAACCCTGTGACCCCACCGTCTGCCTGAGGTCCAGCCGAGAGCAGCAGTCAGGCCTTCCTCGACTCCGCCTCCCCCCGCCCGCGTTGCATGGCGCTGCAGAGAGCATGTGCTTGTGGACGACTCGCAGGCACCCCCACGGCCTGGGCTGAAACTCGATGGTTTCTCCTGATCCTGGCCGGACTCCTCTCCCTGGGGCCTGGGCTTCCTGGGGAAGGGGCAGCCGTCTAAATCCGTCTGGCCCTGGGGGTGCAGTGGAAACTCCTAGAGGAGAGGAAACGTCGTCACTTGGGGGGACACCGGGGTAAACTGTGTCTGGGCCTCTCTGCTTTGTGCCCTTCCCACAGGGGATCTTTCTTCATGTTGTCCCTTTGCCCCTCATCGCTCCCAGTCCCATCCTGCCTCCCACCACACTCCCCTCTCCCCCTCTTCTGGGCATTGAAACAAGAGCTCATTCACTCACGCTGCTCACTCTGTGTAGAAGGTTTTTCCTCCCTTTCTTTGCCTTGCAAATGTGTCATATTCCAGGTCAGAGTTCAGACGTCACTTCCCTAGCAAATGCTTTCTGGACCACCTTGACCAGAAGTATTGTCCCCACCACAGTCCCCTTGCTCAGTAATGTTTCTGCTCCCGGTGGTGTCCCAAGGAGGTTAGTGGCCAACAGGTCTGCTCTCCCACCAGGCAGCAGCTCCTGGAAGTCTGTACATGGGGGCAGTGATAGGCGACTGGCTGAGCGAACGGCTAGATCTGTGGGTTGCGACCATCTCTGAGATCCCTTCACCACCCTCCCAGCCCAATGACGAGCCAGCTTTCATTCGTCCTTTCATTCAGCTCACATGTTAATACCTGCTGTGTGGGTAGCCATGAACTAGCCCGGTGGAGGACTCAGAAGAAAGTGATCATTTGACTTAACGACTTCTATAGCAGAGGATGTAAACCGGTGGCTCGGGGTAGATCTGGCTAGCAGATGTGCTGTCTTTGACCTTGATTTAAAAAGTAGGATATTGAGTATAAAACCCAGGAATTTCTTCATATCATTGAAAAACGGTATAAAAATTTTTTACATCATTAAAAAAAATCAGAAGATTCAGTCACTCAGAAGCCCTGGCCACAGTTGGCCAGTACGGAGTGGCACCCTGTGAGCTTTCCGGTTTACCCCAGGCCTCGGCGAGCTCACTCGGCTTGTTTATACCGCCTGCCTGGCCCCCAGGGGTCTCCAGTGTGTGACTGCTGCTCTAGAGAACAATTCCAATGAAGTGGTAGCATAACCTCTGAAGTCATTCACGATTCAGTGACATTATGTATATGGGGAAAATACTTAGCATGGGGCCTGGCCCAAAGCATATTAATTGAATAGTAGATATTCTCTTTTTTATATTTTTAAATTGATTTTAGAGAGAGCAAGGAACATCAGTTCGTTGTTCCACTCGTTTCTGTATTCATTGGTTGCTTCTACTATGTGCCTTCACCAGGGATCGAACCTGCAACTTTGGCATATCAGGATGATGCTCTGACCAAGTGAGATACCTGGCCAGAGCCAGTAGATACCCTGTAAATGGTAGACCAGAAAATAGCATATAGACACCACGAGGTTGTGTGGTTGCAGGGTCCATGGCAGGCCTACCTGGGTACTGCTGGTGGTTCTGGCTCTCCTCTTGGAGTGTTTGTCTGTGATGTCACATGCCTCTTTGGCCTTGACCTGTGTACCTTTCCAGAGTCATGGCCAGCTGCAGGGGTAGGAGGGAACCTGCTAACCCTACACCACCGCTGCCCATGGGCAGGAGTCGTGCTGGGCATTTGGGTTACAGAGTGTCCTTCCTCATCCCCCTGCAGCCCGTGAAAGCGGAAACCGTGACTGTCAGCAGCCTGGCCATCAGGAAGAAGATTGAGCCAGAGGCTGTGCTGCAGACCAGAGTCACCGCTGGGGACACCCAGGTGAGCCGGGCCTTTCGGCCCGCCCTGAGCTCAGGTGTGAGGCATTTGGGAGGGGGATCCCCACCACGAACAAGCCCCCTGGCCAACCCTTGCCACCTTGGCTCCCCCAGAGCCCTCATCTTAATTAACCCTGATGCTCTTGAAAGCATGGTTGTCCTTCCCGGGCTCTGGGAGTGGGTGGGCCTGGGCTTCAGTCCTGGGCAGACTGCGCTCTTCATGCCTCCACTTCCCCACCTTTAAACCGAGGTGATCATGTCTCTCCTGCCCCCCTGGGAGTGTGGTGAGGACCAGTGGCTAGTGAACTAGGATTGTGGCTTCCAGCTGCCTGAAGGACTTGGAGACTTTCTTGATGTACCTTGGGGCCACTTGGGAAGAGAAGACGTGAGATCCAGAGTCAGCTGCAGTCACAATGGCTCACATTGAGTCGTTTTATTTTTTGGGCACAGGGGTCCCACCTCAGATTGTCAAAATAAACAAACTGGGGAATAAAGAGACCCCAAATCACTTGTCTTAGTGAGATGAAGCGTGCTGAGTACCTGGGAGAAGGCTGTCGTGAATTGACACAGGTGGTTCCTGGATTCCTTTTGCGGTTTTTAAACTTGGAAAATTGAAAATTGTGGGTCTCGCTCCTTCCTGGTCGGAGGAGCTGCTGTGCTGGAGGCTCCTCGCCCTGCAGACCAGTCTTTGCCCCAAGAACTGGAGTGAGACACAAACCAACACACTGTGGGCCACCCTGTCACTTCCGGAGCTTTGCCTCCCTCTCTCTAACACACGTAGGGGTTTCTGAACCCCTACTGGTGCCACTGTCAGGACCCTTGAATTCTGGTGAGCTGTGTGACCTCAGGCAGCATGTTCCCCCTCTGGCCTATTTTGTTTTAGTTACATGTTTTATTTTCACACAGAGAAATATACAGGAAATTAAAAATGGCTCCAAATCCCACAACTCAGTAATCCTTACTGACATCAAAATAACAACAAAATGCTCATCGTTATGAAATTCAAACAGAATCAAATGAATTTTTTTTTGTGATTCCTCCCAGGAAAATATGTATGTATATACCTTCCTATATGCTTTCATGTTAAGATATTATAAAGTTTTTTACAGAAAAGAGATTGTTCTCTTTCACACTGATCTTTTAAATGGTTTTCTTGTGAGAGGTCTCCTTGCCAGCATCCACGGACCCCCTTGCGCTTCTTAGTCCCACTCAGGAGCGGCCCCCCATTTTTCACAGTCTCCCATCGATGGGCCTGTGCTCATTTTCTCTTTTGCAGTTGATGTTGAGCGCCGCAGTGACTTTCCTTGTCTGGACTTCTTGGCAGAGCTTCCACAGTTTCTTTCTTAAAAAATATATTTTATTGATTATGCCATTACAGTTGTCCCATTTCCCCCTTTATTTCCCTCCACCCTGCACACCCCATCCACCCAAATTCCCCCCCTTTAGTTCATGCCCATGTGTCACAAGTTCTTTAGATTCTACATTTCCCATACTACTCTTGCCCTCCCCCTGTCTATTTTCTACCTACCATCTATGCTACTTATTCTCTGTACCTTCTCCCCCCTTCTCCTCCTCTCACTCCCCTGTTGCTAACCTTCCATGTGATCTCCATTTCTATGATTCCACTCCTGATCTAGCTGTCCTCTTAGTTTGCTTTTGCTTTTGTTTTAGGTGCGGTTGTTAATAACTGTGAGTTTGCTATCCTTTCACCATTCATGATTTTTATCTTCTTTTTCTTAGATAAGTCCTTTTAACGTTTCATATAATAAGGGCTTGGTGATGATGAACTCCTTGAATTTGATCTTATCTGAGAAGTGCTTTATCTGCCATTCCATTCTAAGTGAAAGCTATACTGGATAGAGCAATCTTGAATGTAGGTCTTTGGATTTCATGACTCGGAATACTTCTTTTTAGCTCCTTCTTGCCTGCAAGGTCTCTTTTGAGAAATCCGCTGACAGTCTGATGGGAACTCCTTTGTAGGTGACTGTCCCCTTATCTCTTGCTGCTTCTAGAATTCTCTCCTTCATTTTAATCTTGGATAATGTAATTATGATGTGCCCTGGTGTGTTCCTCCTTGGGTCCAACTTCTTTGGGACTCTCTGAGCTTCCTGGATTTCCTGGAAGTCTATTGCCTTTGCCAGATTGGGGAAGTTCTCCTTTATTATTTGTTCAAATAAGTTTTTCACTTGTGGCTGTTCCTCTCCCCCTTCTGGTACCCCAATAATTTGGATGTTGGAATGTTTAAAGATGTCCTGGAGGTTCCTAAGCCTCTCCTCATTTTTTTGAATTCTTGTTTCTTCATCCTTTTCTGTTTGGTCATTTCTTTCTTCCTTCTGTTCCGCTCCATTGATTTTAGTCTCATTTTTCTTTCCATCACTATTGCTTTCCTGTGCATTTCCCTTCATTTCACTTAGTTTAGCCTTCATTTGTTCATCTAATTTGTGACTAAAATCAACCAGTTCTGTGAGCAACCTAATCACCATTGTTTTGAATTGTGTATCTGATAGGTTGGCTCTCTCTTGGTCACTTAGAAGTATTGGCTCTGGGCCTTTGAGCTGTTCTTCTTGAGCCATAATGTTTTGGTCTGTTGGTGCCTGTTAGGTATGAGGGGCGGAGCCTTCGTTGTTCGCCAGGGCTGGGCAACCCAGTGTCGGGCTGTGATGCTGTATGTGTGGGTGGGGTTACAGAGGGGCAATGGTGTTTGTTCCACTCTCTCTCCAATTTTGGTCCCCTCTGCTGCTTCCTGAAAGCAAATTGGGCCCTTCTGGTGCTGGTTACTGGATGTGTGGGCCTGTGCACCCTCCAGGACCCTGTGGGTCTCTCCAACAAACTCTCTGTGAGCCTGGGAGCCTCTCTTGGCACCTCGACCCCCAAAAGTTTTTTCAGTTGGTGCTTTTAGGCTTTAATTCCCGTCGCTGGGGCCCTGGGTTGAGCAGTCTGTCTCACTGCTCACTCCTTCACCTGCATGCGAACGTGTGACCTCGGTCAGCCAGCCGCCTTACACCCTCACTGGGTCCGCCCATTGCAACCCCACACCTGGGATCTGCCAACCGCCATCTGCGCTCCTGGGTTGGTCCGGCCACTTTTTTCTGTGCGACAGTACTCTGCCAGCTGCTGATTCTGCCTCTCTTACCAGTCTGGCTGAATGGTTCGTTGTTGTCGGACTTCCACACAGTTCAATTTTCTGTCTGTTTTGGCTGTGTTTTTGTTACTAAAACTTTGTTGTTTTTAAACTTTTTGTGCAAGGAGGCACAGTGTTTCCACCTACGCCTCCATCTTGGCCAGAAGTGATAATCCCACAGTTTCTTTCCAAAGGGTGAATTCCTAGCAATGGGATCAGCAGGTCAAAGACTACATGCATTGAAATGTGGATAGAATTGGTCAAATTGCTTGGGATTATTTCTCCTTTGTCAGTCAAATGAGACGACTGAAGTGAACCAGCAGACCTGTGAGGCCCATCTGTACCTCGGCTCGTGTGCGCACAGCCTGTGCCCTCGGGCCCTGTTCACTCTGACAGCCTGTCACCTGGTAACTGGGACCACCACCAGCCCTGCTGACAGATGCTGCAGGAGTATCTGGCGTTCCCTCTCTGCGTGTCCCTCTCTGACGACCCCTTCCTCTGACTTCAGGTTGATGGGACTGTCCCAGGGGGGAAGGAGTTCCTAACAACTACACCCTCCATCACCACAGAGACCATATCGACCACCATGGTAAGTAGGACCCAGGAGGCTTTTATCTCTGACCAGCCTCTGCCCTGGAAGCAGCCAGATCACAAGATAACAATACCAGCTGCTTCAGGAAGTCCTTATCTGCCCTCCCTGCATCCAGCCCATGACAGACAGCCAAATTGTCTGGCACCATAGTTGCCACAGGACATCTGGTCAGACCTCAGTTTTCTGGACTGAATAACGTGGGAGGTGGAATCCCTGGGTGTCAGTTATCTGGACCATCCAGGCCACCGGGGTAAAAGGAGGGTGGTACTCTTTGATTATTGGCCACGCCTGCCCGAGGACTGTGCCTGAAAGTCTCCCCCCAGGGCCGGTCCTCCTGGCTGCTGCACATCTGCTCCCATCTCTGGCCACTTCCTTGCCTTGGTCAGTAGATGGCGTACAGTGAACCTACATTGGCAGCTCAGGATTTCGGACCTTCTCCTGAGGCACCTGTGGCTCCGCTACCTCTTTGCTGTCTGACCCATGACAGGAGGTCCTTGGCCTCAGGCGTCCTCATCTGTAAAGAGGGAATAATCCCTATCCTGCCTGGTTCAGAGGTTCTTGAGAGTCTAGTAACATCAGGCACTTCAATGACAGCACAGAACGAATAGCATTCAGCGTGCAGGTTGTGGTGCCCGCCTGTCATCTCATTGGTCTTCACAAAACCTGTGGGGTGGATGCCGTTTTGTTCTTCACCCTTTCCAGATGAGGAGATTGGAGATCAGAGAGGTACAGTGACCCATCCAAGATCACACAACCAGTACATGGTAGAGCCAGTCAGACCCAGGCCTTCTGAGTCCAGAAGCCCTGCTGTCCACCTCAACCACTCTGCCCTGTTCCCTCATCCAGGCCATTGAGAGCACTGGCCACGTGGGGCAGGGCTGGGGCGGGAGCTGGGGCTGCAGCTGCACAGGTATCATTGCCTAGGCCAGATCCGTCTTGAGCTGCTGGGAAGTTGTTTTCAAGTGGTTCCTCTTGCCAAACCCTGATAGATGCATAGGAAGAGAATTACACTAATTTAGACAACCCTGCAGTAGATTTTTGAGTAAACAAAGATTTTAAGGTAAATAAACCCAAACCAGTTGGTTACCAGCTCTCACGCTTTTCCCTGGTCACTCAGTTCCCCCTTTCCCCGCAACCTTTCACCGCGTGGCGTTGGGATGCTTATGGGGCCAAATTTAAACTCATGCTACAGCGAGCAGGCAGCGGCATCATTCATTTACTCATCCATCCATTCATTCTCCATTTGTTCCAAACACACTTATTCGCCTCTATATCTGTCCAGTGTGGGGATATACAGAGTTGAAGAAAACATATGCCTGCCAGAATTCATTTGCCAAATAATAATCCTGCGCGCACTGAATGTACTGTACCCCTGTGTTTAGGTGCTTGGCACACCATGGTGGACAAGGCCCAGCTTTCCCACTTTCTGGCTGGATGACCTTGGGCAGGTCACTTGAACCTCTGCAAACCTCAGTTTTCACTTCTGTAAAGTGGGGTGAAAGGTAATAATAGCACATCCCTCAAAGGGTCGATGTGCAGATGAGCTAAGGTTGATCTGTGCAGTCCCCTCAGAAGAGAGCCTGGCAACATAGTAAGTGGTCTGTAATGTGAGCAGCTGTTTTTTTTTTCCTGCTTTCTTAGGACAGTGGCATAAGGCTTTCCTAGGGAGCACAGGGAGAAAGGGTATCAGTGACACCATAGGAGCCAGAGAAGGCTTTGTCTAGGCAGTGACATCTGAGCTACGTTTGAAGGATGTTAAGGTGCAGTCGGGGGAGAAGGCATTCCAGGCAGTGGGAACAGTAGGAGCGAAGGCAAGGATGTGAAGGAACCTAGTGGCGAAGTGAGGTGTCAAGTGTGTGTGGGGGCTGGGAGCCCGGCAGGAAGAGGTTGGAAAGGAAGTCTAGGCTGGGGCTTGAAGGGCCTCGAGTGTCACGTACAAAGTTTAAGCTTCGTCCTGGAAACAATGGAGAATCACTTGGGTTTTTTAATTAGGGGCATGATGCCATCAAAATAAGTGTGGCTGTGTTTTAGAAAGATTACTCTTGCAGCCTGTGTGGAACATGACTGAAGCCAAAGTTCCTTCCCTTGGGGCACGGGTTCCTTTCATTCTCCCTCCTTCCCCCTTTCCTCCTTCCCTCCTTCTTTCCTTCAGCAAATATTTACTGAGCACCCACGCTGTGTGAAGTGCTGTGCCAGGCACCGCAAATCCAGCACCGAAGGAGACAGTGTCCCTGAGCCTACGTGCCATGAAGAGAGGCCAAAAGAGAAGGCAGGGAACTAGTTCAGGGGCTGGCGCAGGGCCAGAGTGTGAGGAGGTGGATGACAAGGAGAGGGGCAGGGTTCAGGGACACCAGAGGGGGGAAGTACAGGGTTTGGTCACTGACAGAACGTGCAGGTGGCAGGAAGAAAGATGGGCTGCTGATGCTGCTCGCCAGCTGAGCTGTTCTCAGAGTGCGGTCCTGGGAACCTGTGAGAAAGACTGCCTCTGGGGTGCCACCGGACTGATGGAGTCAGAAACTAGGGGGAGGCCCAGCCGGCTGTGCCCCTCAGGTCTGAAGTGTGCTGACGAAAACAGAGCCCTGGAGGGAATGCGTGCGTTGGGGGGGAGGGGGGAGGCAGCGAACTCTGTTTCAGATCCGATGAGTTCCCTGGGGCAAGTGGGACATTTCCAAGGGGAAATGTCTAGGATGCAACTGATTTTAAAGGTCTAGGGTTCATAAAGATTTGGGCTACAGGTAGAGGGATAGGGGACAATGGCATTGATGAGGAAGCCTTGAGTGGCTGAGGCGGTACAGAGACGGGACAGACGGTGAGGGGAGAGAGCCCTGAGTACGTGGGGGGAAGGGTCCAGGGCAGAGATGGTGACATGGCCCTGGTGGGGACAGGACCTGCTCCTCCCTGAGACGGGAGAGAGGACAGACTGAGATACAGGAGAGGCAGGGGCAGCAGGTTGTTTCAAATGACCTCTGTCCCCATTTGTGGCTTCCGTCAAGGTCAGGGTGAGGCTTTGCCCAGGAAAGAGGAAGCAGCAGCAGAAGAGGCTTGGGGAGAATGGCCTGAAGTGACAGAGTAGGACTCAAAGTGGCTAATGGCTGTTTCCCAAAGAAGAAAGGAAGCATTGCACCTAGAAGGCTGTGTCCTTCTAAGGCCTGCTGCTCACAACACATTTTGGGACTCTATCCGGGGAAGCTGCTTGTGGACAGAGTGCCAGGTGCCCGTGGCAGAGAGAGGGCACCTGTCGTCATGCAGCCCCTGGCAGGTAGAGGTCCAGGTCCATCTCATGCACAGACCAAGACCAGGCTCAACCCTCTGGGCAGCTGCAGAATGGACGCAGCTCTGGGCCTCCAGACAGACAGGGCTGAGCCCTGACATGGTGCAGAAGGTGGGAGGGAGAGGCAGGCAGCCGTCCCCTTGCCAGATGTGGGCCAGTAAAACCCAAGGCCAGTTCCAGAAATATCTAGCAGTTAGATCAAGTGTAGGCCCAGGGGAGCTGTCTCAAGGGCAGAGAGGTGGTGAGGGACAGGCGTGGACCCAATTCCTGGCTCTATCACTGACTTGCTGGGGACTTGAACATGCTACTCAACATTCTCTGGCCCTCCCGTTTCTCAGCTGTAAGACAGGAATATTAAAATAATTTGTCCTGAGGATTAAATGAGGTAATGCCTCCTTAGGATAATATCTGGTATGTAGCAAGAACTCAGGAAACGATAATTATTATGATATTATTAATAGCTATTTATCCTATAGATTTCCATTTGCAAAGCCCTGTCTCTATTGTTAGCTTCATAACATCTGTAGGGGAGTGGGGCAGGGGTTCCAGTTTTTTATTTTTTTATTTTAAGACTTTATTTTCTAGAGCAGTTTTAGATTCACAGCAAAATGGGAGGAAGGTACAGAGGTTTTCCATATGCCCACCGCCCCCCCCATGCAAAGCCTCCCCCATTGTCAACAAGTCCCCAGAGTGGGACAGCTGTTGCCCCTGATGAACCCACGTTGCAGGGGCCCCTCTTTACAGGTGTGTTCGTGAGGCCCATAGAGGCGGCTCTGCCCCAGGCCATGTGGCTAGAAGGTGGCGAGGCTGGGATGAGAACCTGAGTGTCTCAGCCCTTGTGTTAGTATTTCTAGAGAGCAGTACCATGTCTTGTTCACCACCGTGTCCCTCATGCCAGGCACCCCGGACCTGTTTGCTGAGTGAATGATGTCTAAGTGTGTGAATGGGTGAGTGAGTGAGTGCATGATGAGTGAGAGGAAATTGATCTGAGTGAGGCCTTGAGCTCCCTGCTTCCAATGTCACTATTCAACCCACGGCCGTGAAAGCAACATGGCCACATGCTGTGGCCACCCTGGGGCCCACCCACCCACCTGAGACTTGGCCATCTGAGCACTATTGTTTCCCTAGGAGAACAGTCTCAAGTCCGGGAAGGGGGCAGCTGCCATGATCCCAGGCCCACAGACGGTGGCCACGGAAATCCGTTCTCTTTCTCCGGTAAGTGGGCAGGGCCAGCTCAGGCTAGGGGACTCCACACTGAGAACACGGACCCGGGTCCACAGCTGGCCCGCAGCACGTGCCACGTAGAGCCCAGAAGGCTGCCTTTCTCAGGGCAGCACCAGGGAGTGGCATTTTCAGAGGCCCACAGGGCTCCCTGGTGCCCATCTGAGTCTCGTCCATTGCCCTCCATTCCTCCCCTACACACTCCCAAGGAAGGCGTTGGCAGTACGGGGATGAGGTGGCTCCCCCCTTTGGTGGTGCCTGTTCTGTGGTGTAGCTCTTTTGCATCTGATCTCCTTACTGACCAGGAGGAGCAATGAGCTAGGGGTCCAGAGGCTTGGATTCTGGACTTGGCTCTGCCGGTGGCTGCCCCGCGAGCCCCAGTCTGTCCCTGTGAGGTCTCTTGCAACTCCTGTAGAGTCCCAATCTGTCATTCTCATCATCTGGCCCCAGAGAGAACAGGGTGGGGGACTGAGAGGGAGCTGTTTCTACCTTGGATCCCTCTGTCCTTTCTTCTAAGATACCAGGATTCTTAAATTCCAGGGTCCTGTTAGAACTCTGGGCCCTAGGAATCTCAGGTTCTAGGAATCTTAGATTCCAGGCTTTGAGAATCTTCTGGGTCTAGCTTTCTGAAGATTCCAATTTCCCTGAATTCTTAGGTTCAGTGGTTCATAGCATCTTGGCTTCCAAACCCCACCTTCACAGGACCCACTCTACTTGTCCTTTGGTTTACCCACCCCCCGCCCCTACCCAGCAGAGCCTAGTACCCTCATCTGACCCCAGGGTGGGGGGTGGTTATATTCTGCAGATCATCGGGAAAGATGTCCTCACCAGCACCTACGGCGCCACTGCGGAAACCCTCTCCACCTCCACCACCACCCATGTTACCAAAGTGAGTAGCAGCAGGGTGCCACATGCCCCCAGCCTGGCTGCAGGGCTCGGGAAGGTCATTGCCATTGCTCAGCCTTGGGAACACCTGGGGCGTTCCCAGGTTCTGGAGTGCTGTGTGCTTTGTTCTGAGTTATGGTTTGCCCTGGATCTGGCCCTGCTCTTCCACATTGACGAGCCCATCTCCTTGGAAGCAGTTGTGAGCCATAGCATTTGTGGCTTACAGTCTAAGTGCTGCCGGATTTAGAGGCAGGCAACATAAGGAAGGCTCAAAGAGTGAGGAAGGGTCTTCTGGAGAAAGTGAGGTTTGTGCAGGGTCTTGGAAAGTAGGACTTGTGAGGGAGAAGAAATCAGAGGCAGAAACTGTGTGTTTGCTTATTCGTCCATTAAGCAGATTTTATTCTGTGCGAGGGGCTGTGGGAGGCTGTAAGCAATGCATGTTGGGAAGCAGGAGCAGTGGTCTCCACCAGCAAGAAGCAGCATGGTGGGATGTAACCATGGGAAACCAGGGTGGACCAGGGCCAGAAGGAGCAGCCTAGAGACAAGTTGGACAAATTCCAGGACAGATGTGCCATTGGAGGCCCCGAGTCTGAGAACCATCAGGAAGCCGTCAGAGTTTCTTAACTGAGAAATAAGCCAGTGAGGAGGAGTTTAAGGAGAGGGGGTTCGATCCACCAGGGTGTGCAGGTAGACGGGAGAAAGCAGAGAACAAGTGCTGGCGAGACTAGGGGTGGAGAGCCTGGACCAGGGTGGGGGTCAGAGTGAGGGAAGGAGGAGGAAAAGCCAGGAAGAGAGGCATTCCTGATGCGTCGGCTGCGACTCAGCCAGTGAAGACAAGGGGCTGAGAACAGACTGGCAAGGCCACGCTGAGGGGTCAGAAGGAAGCCAGAGGGTGCCGAGGCCCAGGCCGGGGGCCTGAAGGGGAGATGCCAGGGAGCCAGTTTGAGTTGCAGGTTCTGATGAGTCATCCAAAGAAGTCTGGTGGGTGGCACTGCCCCTTCGCACACTGTCCCCACCCTGCTCCCTCCTATGTAGGACTCAGCACCTCTGCATAGTCCCCAGAAAGCACCCACTCTCACCAAGGCATTAGTGAGCAACACTGACGTCACCGAAAGCTTGACAGGAAGGTGTTCCATCACACACCCCACTCAACACAGCTCAGAAAACTCTTTTACCCAAAGCCCCCCCTGACCCTGCCAACTGGGAGCCCCCCTTCTTTCTGTCCACTCCTGATGCCAGCGGGACTTTCCTCAGCCACTGCCCTCCTTGACTCTGCCCAGCGATGAGGCCCTTCCCCATTTCTCCTCCTGAACTTACACCTGAACCTGCCCTTTCAGAAACAGTGGTGGTTCCCAGTGTTGTCAGCAAAATTTCTCTTGTACTGTTGTTTACGGTCATTTGAGGTAGAACCTTGTCACCATTCACATTTCATTCATGTGTTCATTCAACAAATCTGCATTTAGCACCTGCCCTGGTCAGGCCGGACAGGGGAGTTGGGGACGAGGAGATAGGGAGATGAAAGAAGACAGCCCCTGTCACCAAGATCCCAGGGCTAGTGAGCAAGGCCAGGTCCCACACTTAAGGTCGGAAAAGGGCAGAGGGGCCCGGAACCATGAGAGAGATGAATTTGGGGCTCAGGGAGTACGAGAGCAGGGAGGCGGGCGGATCGCCAACAGGGTTAGGGAGAGCACCCCAAAGCACCAAGGGCCCAGGCTTCTTTCCCACTCTTTCCCATATTTGATCTGGGCCAGAAGACCTGGAAGGGGGGACAGTTTCATGTTTGAGGGAGTGGTGACCACCAGGTGAGCTCTGCAGTCAGAAGTCCCGAAGCCAGAAGAGGGAAAATCTGAGGGAGCTAAGAGAGAAGGCAGCGGCCGGTTCCAGTCACGCCCTAGAAGGGGGATACTTTGGGTAGGTCTCCTGTCACCGCTGCTGGTCTAGCAGGACCCAAGGCTGACCTTGCCCCCTCTCCCCCTGCAGACTGTGAAAGGAGGGTTTTCCGAGACAAGGATCGAGAAGCGAATCATTATCACCGGGGACGAAGATGTTGATCAAGACCAGGTATGGGAATGAGGGACTCCATGTTGGTTACCTGTGAATGGCTGCCCTTGTGGGCTGAGAAGGTGTTCACTTCCTGCCCACCCTGTCCCGACAGGGGGCCCCCAAGGAAAAGGCATTGGATGGGAATCAAAGGAGCCAGGAGACCCAAGCTCTAGTCTCTTCCTTTAACTCTTTGACCGCTGCCCCTCCCCGGGCCTCCATTCTCTACTGCTGTGCCCCAGTCAGCTTGTTGGTCTCCATGGTCTCTCCCTCGTATTCCATATTCTGTGCTTCCTCACGTTGCTGTTCCTTCCCACCAGGCCCTGGCTTTGGCCATCAAGGAGGCCAAACTGCAGCATCCCGACATGCTGGTGACCAAAGCTGTCGTGTACAGAGAAACAGACCCATCCCCGGAGGAGAGGGACAAGAAGCCACAGGTAAGGCTCTCGAGGCTCTGCAGCCACGAGAGGGAGAAGGGGACTGGAGCAAGGTCCTCTGAGGGTCGTTTCTGTCTGAGACCCCATCCTGTGGCTTGGTCCCTGGCACAGCTTTGCCCGCCCATCATCACCAGGCACAATGAATCAGAGTGGGAAAGAAGCCTGGGCCCTTGGTGCTTTGAGGTGTCAGGCCCTCAACCCAGAAAAGTAAATCAGAAGTGGTAAGAAAAGGGGAGACAGGATTGTCAGAGGGTACTGAGGCAGGACAGAGGGGGGCACACAGAACCTCCCCGGCCAGTGCCTATGAGCCGGGAGTCAGAAGACGGTCCCACCAGGCCCAGTGCCACATTGCTGTCCCAGAGTCCCTGTCTCTGTCACGGTCACCAGATGCTGCCGAGGGAAGGTGTGAGATCCAGAGCCCTTGAGCCCATGTGTCCTGCCAGGTGTCCAGACCTTCAACTTCTCAGGCACCTGGGGCCAGAATCTTAGGAGCCCTGATAGTGTTCTGTTTCCTCTGGGCCATCAATACCCTGGTGGAAAAGAGATGGCGCTGTAGCAGCAGAGAGGTCTTTCGTTAGCTGCTCCGGAAATTAGCTGAAACCCATCAGAGCTATAAACAAAATCTGACAGACACTGAGTCGCACGAAGTGGGTCAGGCACAAAAGGTGTACATGTTGGGGTCCATCCACAGGAAGTTCAAAAATGGGCAAAGCTAATTGATGATGATAAAAGTCAGGCTTGCGGCTACTTCCAGGAGGCAGCACTGACAGTGCAGGACCACAGGGGGACCTTCTGTGGCCGGAGAGGTCCCACCTGGACCTGGGTGTGCTCCCTGGGTTTACCCACACGGGGGTGGGCAAGAGTGGGATCACGGCTGTGGTGCAGATAAAGAACACGGGACTTACTCCTTAAATAACACAAAGATGAACTCCTCTGCGTACTCACGGCCGTCACCCTCCTTCTGCCCACGCCTGTGCGTAACAGTTTGTCAAGCTCTACACTGAGATTTTTGCGCTTGACACATGTCACATGTGATGCCACAGAGAAAAGACAGCCATTTCAAAACCCCTCACAAATAGCAGGTCTTCCCTGATGAATAAAACCAGTGCCTTCTAGAAAGACCCCAGAATGTTCCTCTCTTCCCTTGATTACCACCCCCTTTGTGTTGGAAGCAAAAGTGTGGAAGTGTTTTCCTGCCACGTTGAAAGCTGGCCCAAGCCCTGGCCTAGACCGTGCTGTTTGACAGAACTCTCCGCAGTGACGGGAGCCACACACGGCTACTGAGCCCGTGAAAACGGCCAGTCCAAAATGAGGATGAAATACCTGCAGGATTTTGAAGGTTTAATATAGGAAAAAATAATGTAAAGTGTCTCAACCACTTTCATATTGATTACCTGTTGAAATGATAATGTTTGGGTATGTTAGGTAAAGTGAAAGATTATTAAAATTAACTTCACCTGTTTCTCTTTATGGCTTTTTTTTTCATAAAAATTTAGAGTTTTAATTTAGAAAATAAATTTTTCCAGAGAATTTTAGAAAACTGGAAAATTTAGAAAATGTTGTCAAGAAAAATCTGTCATCTAGAAAATTTTAAATTCCATCTGTGGCTCACATTTTATTCTCTCAGACAGCGCTGGTCTAGAAGTGTGTGCTGGTCATGGGCAGAGCCTCCCTTCCAGCTTTCCTCAGGCTTTATGCCAGTGACTGTCATCTCTGTCTCCTCAGTTGTCATGATAATCTTGCTTTTTGTCCCCCAGATCTCAGAGCAGTAGAGCATAGGTCACTAGCCAAGCAGGTGCTGAGCTGGTGGTACCACCTGGGGAATACGCGTACTGGACAACTAAGGCCCTAAACTCTGACTTAGAAGCACTGGGACAGGACCTGGGAATCGCCACACTTTCACCTTGGCCCTGAGGAAGTCCATGGGCAGCCAGGTGTAGGAGCCGCTGAGGCCGAGAACTCTGTGCTGGGAGTCTGGCTCCCATCCCAGTTTCTTCCCCCATGAGACTCTGTCTCTTCATCTGCAACATGAAGAGATAGAGCCTGCCCCTTCCAGTGACGGGCCTCTAGCTGTTTATTTGCTGACCCAGAGTGTCTGTCTGTGTTTTCCTAGAGCGTCTGGCCCATCCCCTCTCACTCCTTCTCATTATTCCTGGGTCGCTCCCAGCCCGCCCACCAGGCTCCTGCCTTCTGTTTCCCTGGCCATCCAGAGCTCGCACCGGCTCCGCGCCCCGCCCCACGCCCCGCCCACCCACCACCCTGCAGTCTCTCACATCTGCCCGCCTCACAGCTGCCTTGGCTTTCTCACTCGCCCTCCTCACCCCCCTCAGTGCTTTCTTCCATGTCGTTGTCCCACACACACCCATGCACCCGCTCTGTCTATTTCGGATCCTTCTGTAAAGGTCGCCTCCTTTAGGTTGCTCTGGGGAGCTAGAAGTTTCTCCCTTTCCATTTCCACCCCCAGGCTTTGCCATTCGTTATCACCACGTGAGGAGCCACCTCTTCTGACTCTTAATATAGCCACACTCACTAATTCTGTGGGACACGTCTGCTGTGAATTAGACAACTTTATTTAAAGTGCTTGGAAACGTCGACTGAGTCAGTGGATGCACCTTGGTACCCCAAGGGAGAGCCCTGTAGTACTACGGACCTGGGGTTGCTCTCAGTTCTGCCCATCATTACCTGCGTGGCTCTGAGCAAGCTATTTAACCTTAGCAGCTGTGTTTCCTCACAGCCAGGTGGCGATGACAATCACAGTACAGGCTGTGCAGCGGCCTTGGGTACTCTTGTCTGGTCCATTCGTTTTACACGTGAGGACACAGGGACTCGGAGACATGAGGTGGCTTGCTCACAGTCGTGGATCTGGGAGAACATGAAGGACTGATTCCTCACCGGTTAGACTGCAGATCCACCCTGTGGCCTCCCCCTCCTCGCCACGCTGACTGTCCACAGAATCTGCCTCACAGGCTCACTGAGGTCATATACACGCAGTAGTCAGCACAATGCCTGGCGTATAATGAGTACTCAGTAGAAGTTAGTTATGACTATTACTGTTGATTCAAAGCAGGCTAAAAAAATGCTGCTCATGCAGACTCTGCTGCAATAAACCAAGAAGAATAAATTATAGTTCAGTATTCTTTAGAAGTCCTTGGTACTTCTGAAGTGTCTGTGGATGTTTGAAGACATCCCAGGTACCCAGAATCCTATTTACACCTTATTAGTTGGTGAGTGAACCTGAAGTGCAGCCTGCCACTATACAACAGAAATCTTCAGGAAGTAGCAGAATTGAGCGGAAAAAACACATCCAGGCCTGGGTCAGAAACACCTGGCTCGCCGTGAGCCTCAGTTTCCCCATATACGAAAATAGAGTGGGTCTCTAACCTGGAGCTGCTGTTATAATGAAACCATATCTGTGACCATAGACTGGGTGGCTTAAGCAACACATATTTATTTCTCACAGTTATAGGAGCTGGGAATTTCAAGATCAAGGTATCAGCCAGTGCAGTGCTCGGTGTGAGCCCACTTGCTGGTTTACAGACAGCTGTCTTCTCTCCGTGTCCTCACACAGCCCAGAGCAGAGAAGGATAATCTCCTGTGCGTCTCTTCTTACAAGGGCACTCATTTCGTTTATGCAGACTCCACCCTTGTGACCGGAGACCCAGCCTCCAAATGCCATCATGTGGAGGGTTAGGACTTCGACATGTGAACTTTGTGGGGATGGGACGTAAACATTCAGTCCACAGCAGTGACATACCAGGGCCATGTCCCACAGACAGAAGGTGCTTAGCAGTGCGAACCTGCTTCCTTGTCCCTTGAGGTTCTGCCGTGTGTAGAGGTGATGAGAGTCCTGAGTGAATCGGACCTTAAACTTCCGCCACCAGCCGGGTGCGCCGGGCCCTGTTTCCACACGCATTTCCCTCTTCCTAGTCTTGATCCTCTCTTCTCTCCCCGAATCCTCCAGAAACGTCTTTCCCTGCTCCATTCAACTCCATCTTCCTTCCGGAAATTCTTCTTCCTTGAAGTTCTTGCTGTGAGGGTGGGAACCACACTTACATCACAAAGTATTTTCTTTTTTCTGCAACTTCGCAGGCCAGATGTGTGCCTTCTGCTCCATTATCTCCCACTGGCCTGTCTCCTCCGGCAGGACCCGCCTCCCAAACCCTGCCAAAGAAAGAGAGGCACTTGCCCAGCTTCCTAGGGCTTTGTTACCTTCAAAATTTTATTTATTTTTCAAAGATTTAATTAATTTATTTTTAGAGAGAGGGGAAGGGAAGGAGAAAGAGAGAGAAATATCAATGTGTGGTTGCCTCTGGCACACAGCCAACTGGGGACCTGGCCTGCAACCCAGGCATGTGCCCTGATGGGGAATCAAACCAGCGACCCTTTGGTTCTCAGGCCGGTGCTCAGTGCACTGAGCCACACCATCCAGGGCTCCAGTTTCTTCATTTAGACTGCACTCTGGGGGTTAATCCCCAGAACACAGCAGGCCCATGGAGAACAGAAAGGAAAAACAGACAGCAGGAGAACATCTGTAATCACAACCATCATTACTTAGAACGGAGAGATGTAGCAGGAAAGAGTGAACGTTAAAGTGTGACATTAGCTTCTCAGCGCTAAAGGGAACTTGGCAGATTTCCAGGCCAAGGGAAAAGAAACCCCCTCCCTGGAAGCAAACAAGCAAACATACCTTGGCTTTGGAGTCAGACAGGTGTGGGTTCAGTTCTCCAATGCCACTTACAAGCGGGGTGGCCTCAGACAACCACTGTCGTCCTGCGCCATAGATAAAGGACACGCAGTATTGGCTAGCTAAAAATACTCTCTTATTGTGTTTGAAGATGGGTGGTGAAAAGTTACTAACTTTTCTTGTCCCCCTCCCTCCTTCGTGCACCCCCACCCCCGACAACTCTGGCTCCAGGAATCCTGACCTCTGTGAAGAGATGCTGGCATTTCTGGTCCAACCCAAGCCAGAGAACCGTTAAGAAGGGGCCTTCGTTCTGGATTCTCCGACTCAACACCGACGTCCCAGCTGCGATGTACTGTCACTGATGAGAGACCGGGAAAGGAAAAGCATATAAATATATATATAGATATATATAGATATAGATATATATACAGGAAACACTGCGTCCTTGCACTGCTTCTGGGGGCTGGCCAAGCCGTCGGCCAACTGCAGCAACCAACATCGGAACAGCTACATTTCCTTTGCAGACAAATTGAAGAATTGGTGGGATTTTTCAGGGAAAAAAAATTATAATGCCGGTAATCCCTTGCTGTCCCCTTCGAAGCCCTGTGGAACAACACAAGCAAGCCGGACCACGAGGACTGTAGAGGTGCAGTGTGACCTGCACGTCACATCTGGTGGACAAACACTCCATTTGTTCTGCAGCGTCTGTTGCCCACCCAAGTGCAAAGGAATATCCCTTCTGCAGCAAAGCAAGATAAGTCGCAGCAGCAAGACATGCGCCGTCAACAGTTTTCCGAGAGAGAAAGAAAATTCCCCACGTGGAGAGGAGGAGGAGGAACGCTGGGTCATTCCTTCATGGGTCTTGACACTGGGCTGCAAAATCCAACTTCCTTTCCTCTGCTTCCCCTCCCCGTCACGAGTCCTGTCGTCATTTTCTGTCTCGGCTCCCTCCGCCTTCTCTCCCAACCCTGTCCCTCTCACTGTCTGTGTCCTGGTCCTGCTGAGGGCCACTGCAGATGACTGTCATTTGAAATGAGGAAAAAAAAAAAAAAAGGAAAAGAAAGCAAGAACAGAAAACCAAGCCACAGGAAGGGAAGTAGACATTGTATGTTTATGGGTTCTCATTATGAAGGTGCAGCTTGTAGGAGATTTGTATGGATGTGCTTTTAAGTTATGTATATTACATATAACGGGAAACAAATATGAAAATAAACAGTGCTGGTAAGTATGAAGCCGACATTTTAAAATTATAATTATCTGACTGTGATTGATGTATCCCAAGGTTCCTAGGTCTCACTGAACTGGCCGGCCGAGGAGACCTGGACTCTGGCTGAAGGAGATGACGGTTCAGTGTAGTAATACAGTGTGTGATGTTTGTCATTGGTTGATTGGTGGGGAGGGGAGGGGTCCCCAAAAGGAGAGGCCGGGGTTTGGCAAGAAGGAAGCAACACAGGTGTAGTCCAAGATGCCTTCTCCCCTAGGCGGTGGTGCAGGGCCTGGCCTGTGCTCAGCTGCAGGGTCCAGAGTTAGGATTTTGCTGCAGACCCCCTGGCTCAGTCCCCCCACCTCCCTCGGGGGCTTGCCTCAGTTTTCAGTCCTCTATTTTTTTTGCCACATGTCTTGCCTTTCCCTGACCGAATCGTGACAGATGACTCCCATCCTAAGGGGGGTGACGCCCCCCCAGCCGTTGCAGAGGACGGTGGCTTTAACCTGGCTGGCTGAAAGCCCCCAGCTCAGCCCTTTCCTTTACCGCTCCTGTATTCTGTCAGAATCATTCTCTCCTTCCTGGGCCAAAGCAGCCATGGTAGAGACCGTGAACCCATGGTGGGCCCTGATAGGTCACAAGTGCATTCCCGAAGGCTTCGCCTGCCCCTGAACAAGCTGAGGATAAAAGGTGGTGCTGCCCAAAGGCCCCATCTACACATAGATCCTGGCCTTGGAGGCCTCGCCTTTAGTCGGAGTCCAAGTGCTGAGCCCGTGCCCTCGGAGCCCCAGCTATTGCCTCAAGACCACAGATGCCCTTGGAGAAATCCCATCAGAAGCCTGGTCCCTAGGCCCCCGGCCACGAGCAGCTTCCCTGAGCTCGGTGAGTCCCCTTCCGAGGGAGTGTGTCCACCCCTCTGCTGCACTTGAATTTTTCAGTCCCATCTCATCTCCCCAGTCCAGCTCCTAAAAGAGTTGATAAATTTGTTCAGCGAATATATATATTAAGCACCTACTTGTACCAGGTACTATTCATGGACTGAAAGAGAGTGGGGGAGGGGAGGACATGGAGGCACCGGGCAAGTCCCCTGGGCCAGCCTTACATTTCCAGCCATGGCTGGCCCTCCGGAGGGCATGTCCACGTTCTCTCCAATTATTGAACATTGCCCAGAGAGGGTCCAGGCTTGCTGATCAGTTTCCCCAAGGGCACATATGATTAGCTCCTTAGTTGGTGCTGACCTGAGGCAGAACAAGAAACCAAAATAGTTTTCCTCTGTAGACAAAAATGGGATGGAGAGAGGGCAGAGAGTCCTGAACCCGGGGGTCAGAGGGCAGAGTCAGCCACGTGCCCCCAGAGCGGGCCAGTGGTCCATGCCCGCTCCCGAGTGTGACAGCATACTCTTCATGCACCAGGTCCTCTTCACACTCCTGGTCAAAAAAGTGCAGAACCTCCTTTTTGCCCTTCTCAACCCAAGAGTTCCCACTCTTTCTGGGCCCAGAGCTGGACTGGCTCCACCCTCTCTGGGCCACCCAGAATTTGGCTTAGACACCCCATCTCTGTGAGACCCAGACATTCTGAACATACTTCAGAGGGAGAATTTTTTTCTGGGTCCTCCACCTTCCCACAGACCCTGGGTGTGTGGCTTCAGTGCAGGGATGAAGCGACTAGGCTTAGCTCATAGGCCAGCCAGGGTTTGTGAAGGCCTCTGTACCATACGTGCTCTGACCTTCCTTCCACGGACAGGCAAGCGGTGCTGCCAGGGAGGAGGGGAGCTGCAAATCTAAAATCTAGGGCACTGTTCCCTCCCCATCCTCCTCTTCATAGAGAATATAGACGTTCATCTTGTCTGTCTTGAACCTACTTTTCTTTTTTTCTTTTTTGTGTTTCTCATCTTTTCTATGCTGCCTGTCCACCCAAGAGACCATGCAGCATAGTGGGAAACATCCCGGAGGGCAGCCGAGAGTGCTGGGTGGCCATCCCGGCTTGGCACCTGACTCGCCATGTGACACTGAGCTAGGCCCATGCCCTCTTTGGGGCCGCAGTTTCCACACTTGTAAAATGATGAGGATAAACCAGATGCTCTCCAGGGTCTTTTTCCACCCTCCCATCCTACAGATTTTCATTCTATTTTGTTTCTCGGGATCTTTTCCCTCTGAGGGTACAGGAAGTGCCAGGACCTGTTTCAGTCTTTGAATCCAGCAAGCACATTCCAAGACTGGCCTGAAATTGCATGAGCAACATCACTCATTTTTTTTTTTCCAAAGTACCTTACCAACCAATGCAATGCTGTCCTGTTCCTTTTTACTCACACCCCTCTCTCCTCTCTGGTCCCCACGCTTCCCCACCTCAGTGCTCCGTGCTGTATGCGTGTGCTCTCTGTTCTTGTATACTCAATAAAAGTGAAATAAATGTGTTTGATGCTGAACCACAACTGTCTTGGTGTGCGCCTCTGTCTCTCTCTCTCTCTCTCTCTCTCTCCCTCCCTCCCTCTCCCCCACCTACCCTTGACTACCAGTACAGGTGGCATTGTGAGAAAGGCTACAACTGGAGTGGAGAGATCCCAACCTAGTACAGTTTCATTCAACAAATACTTGCAGCTCCGAATGTGGTCCAGGTCTCGCATTAGGCTTTGCAGGTACGACAACAAGTAAGACAAAGTTCCTGCCATCCAGAAGCTCACAGGCTAGCGGGGGAAACAGACCACAAAACCGGCAAGCAGTCACAGACAGTTCCGAGTGATCGGCACCAGGAAGGACGTGCACAGAGGGGACAGGGATGGTCACTGAAGGAGACCACCTAAATAAGGTGGCCAGTTACAGCCTCCCTGGGGAGGTTATTTTTGTGCTGAATGAAGAGAAATACCCAGTAAGGTGAAGAACTTGGGTGAAAGCGTTCTAGGCAGAAGGAATGGTAAGTGTGTGGGTCCCAGGACAGAGGGGCTTGGTGTGCGGAGGGACAGCGTGATCCCAGCTCCTCTCCCTGACAGAAGAGCGCCTACATCCCGGTCTCTTCCTGCAAGTCCCCTGCATGGCCGACTAGTGGATAATGTAGACGGCAACCCCCAGCTTCAGCCTCTGCCCACCACCGTCACGTACGTTGCTGTAGCCCCCTGCTTACCTCCTGTCTCATTATTGACTTACCATCACTTTTTAAGACTTTACTCTAAAAAACAAGTTTATTTAGAAAGGAAACTATATTACTTCTGCAGATGGAAAACTAGTGTCACATGTCAAACAAAGGCAGTCTTCATAAAAATAAATGCAAAAATATTAAAATTAAAAACCCATAATCCATGTAAAACTTAAACTTGCCTCTTGGACTACCTGAAACACATATACCAGCCCTTTCCTTTTTATTCTAACTTACACCAGCCCACCTTTTTAAAAAAAAATATTTTAATTAATTAACTTATTTATTTATTTTTAGAGAATGGGAAAAGGAGGGAGAGAGGGAGAGAAACATTGATCTGGAGACCTGGCCCACAACCCAGGCATGTGCCCTGACTGAGAATCAAACCAGCAACCTTCCCGTCTGCAGGCCAGTGGTCTATCCACTGAGCCACACCAGCCAGGGCCAGACCACCTTTCTTTATTGCCCAAAATCTCACAAGCGAGAACCACTGCTAATAATTTGGGGCATATTCTTTCAGACTTTCCATGTATATGTATTTTTCCAGAATTGAAGATACCTTGTATGTACCATTCTAAGTACTTTCTGAAACTTACACTCTGAACACTTCCCTGTAATTTCAAACATTAATATTATTTCTTTTGTGTTTAGAGATAATTCATTAAATTATACAAAGTGCTATGCAATGCAAAGCAATTCTTCAACCCTCTGCAGACTCCTGTCTATTGCCAGAGGTGATTGCTTCCAGGGGCTTTGTGACTCCTTTCTTGAGTTTTCCTGTAGCCATCTATCACCCTTGGGGTTCTGCAGGAGGACTTGGTTTGCAAGCATTGGGTCTCCATATACCCTGGATCTGTGTCTTTGTCTCCCATAAATGTAGGGTCAGCCTCTGCGCTGCTTGGAAGTAACCTGAGGTTGTTTAATCTATATCAGTGGTTCTCAACATGGGGGGAGTTATTTTGCCCCCTGGAGAATATTTAGCAATGTCTGGAGACATTTTTGGTTGTCACAACAGAGAGATGCTATTGGCATCTAGTGGGAGGGGGCCAGGGCTGCTGCTGAACATCCTACAATGCACAGGCCTCAAAAGGCACAATAGTACCAAGGTAGAAAAACCTGATCTGGATGGACATGTGACTTATAGGTGGCATTCCTGGGCCACCATCTGCATCTTCCATGCTCATAATTCAGTGCCCTGGAGTCTCTGAGAAGATGGTGAGCTTGCCTGGAACAGGAAGCTCAGACCAGACACCAGAGCTCATCGCCTAAGGCTGGGAATAGGGAGGGACTAGGAGGGAACTGAGCTTCTTCATGCAGGAAATGGAATGGACAGGACAGGCTGAGACTGACAGGCATGACTGTGACTGATGGAGGCCATTTCTGGTGAATCCTGCAGCAACTCACTGTGACTAACCATGACTGCAGGGCCCAGTCTAGTCTGAAACCACTAAGAGATGAATTTTGACTGAGACAGATTGGCGTGTCCAGTGTCACTGAGGAAATGTGACAGACAAGCTACCGAGCAGCCAGGAGCACAGGGAGAAGAGCAGCCTGTCAGACCTTGGTTTGCATCCTAGCTCTACTGCTCTCTTATTGTGTATACTCTCTGAGCCTCAGTTTTCTCTTCTGTAAGTTGGGGATGCTAATATATCCTTTCTAGGGTAATGTAAGGTTTAGAAATCATACATGAATAGCCTGCCCTGTGTATTTTGGACTTATCTAGCCAGCCCTCAAAATCACGTAAGTCAATTCCTTGCAGTAAATACTTCTATCTATATCTATCTATCTATCTATCTATCTATCTATCTATCTATCTATCTATATATCTATGTATAGATATATACATATCAAGATAGATAGATATATAGATATCTCCTATCGGCTATCCTTCCTTGGTTGGACCCTGACTAGTACAACCACCCAGCACAGGGCTAGGCCCCAGATAGAAACTACTTCTTAATACCAAATTACTGTCATCAGTTAAATGCAGAATATTGTACATGTACTGAGCTAAGCCTTTGTGCCTGGCTTTGTGCTGGGTTCCAGGGAAACAGAAAGAAACAAGGAACAAGAGAGGCAGGTGCCCCTCCTCAGGGAACAGTTACAGCCTGACTAAGATATCAGACTAACCCTGTGCTGCAGGAGAACGCTGGGTGGTTAGGGCTGCAGAGTACGGGGTAGTGACTACTGCTACTGAGACAGGTTCTCTCTGAGCTGTGAGCTGGGTTTCTGAGGCTCCCTCTTAGGCCTGAGTGTGGTTGGAAGTTAATATGGGGAGATAGTGGGCTAGCTGTGACCCTGTCACTCAGTTACACATTGGCTAACCAGGGCCGTGACTAAGTATCTGACAGTGGCTACTAAGCAGCCATGACCTAGACCCCAGCTTCAGTGACCATGACTGATTGAAACCAAAGGACTATGGCTAGCCCTCGCCGGTGTGGCTCAGTTGGGAGCATCATCCCACAGACGGAATGGTCAGGAGTTCAGTTCCATCAGGACACACCCAGGTTGTGGGTTTGATCTTCAGTCGGGGCACATATGAGAAGGCAACCAACCAAAGGACCATAGCTGGCGGATGTGTTTGTGGAACGCAACATAAAAGGCACAGTTTGGCAAAAGTTGCTACGCACGGTTCAGGAACTGAAACGATAAACTAAAAGCAAATGGTTTTATGGGGCGGAACTTGCAAGCGCGGACCGCTTTTCCCGCGACCAAGAGATTTGCCGGGCCTCTTTTTCTGTAGCTCCCGTCCGGCACCAACGCGGTGAAACTTCCGGCGCGTTTCCGCTTTGCCTGAGCAGTGGGGGCGAGACCGGAGCAGGTGAGTGTGGCGTACTGGTCTGTTTTAACTTACTTGCTTTCGTTGTCTGTTTAGCCGGGCCGCCCGGCTTCCTGGCCTGGTCGCTGAGTAGCCTGAAGTAGGGCGCCTCGCTGGGGTCTGTGGGCCGGTGGTAGGACCTTGGTGTCTCCACAGGCCTTTACCGCGAAAAACCGTAACTTCGCTTTTTTCCTAACTTTAGAACTTGGGTACCGGAGACCTTGGCTCCTCCCGACCTGGTTCTGTCCGACTCTCTGCAACTTTTCTGGTAACGTCTCTCCCTGAAAGCAGCCTGTTTCTCAACTACAAAGTGGATATCATGTTTTTATTAAATAAATGTTTCGTCAAGTGTCTGTTATGTTCTGGAGGAAGAAATGGGCAAATCTGGTGGAGGTGATAGCTCTCTGTTAAGTATAGGCAAAATAGCAGACCTGGTAAGTGAAATGAAAAGGCAGTGGGCCGCGTGAGAGTATCATAAGAAGCCTGATCTAGGAAGCTTTACTGAGGAGAGAATATTGAGCTGAGATCAGAAAAATGATTTGAGAAAGAGGAGAGAGAAGACTTTTCGAGTCGGGAGCCACTCCCCCGCCCCGTTTGGGCGTCTGAAAGAGGCCAGTGTGCCTGCAGCAGAGAGAGCTTGGTGGGGAGCAGAGTATGAAACAGGCTGGGGGAGTTGCCAGGGGCCAGGCCGTGCATGCCTTGTAGGTCATGGTGAGAATTTTGGTTTCCCAAGAGCCACCTGGGAAACCACTCAGAGGGTATTAAGTGTGGGTGTCCATATGCTTAGACTGGCATTTTGAAAAGGTCGTTTCTGCTGTGGGTGGAGAATGAACTCAAGGGGCAAGTGCTCTGGGTGAGGGACATGGTAGCATGGATTAAGGAAGTAGTGAAGACAAGTGGCTGGATGTGACTTTCTGCATCCAGGGCATCTTTTCTGTTGTTGTCAGGCCACGTGCCAGCTGCTGAAGAGATAATGAATAGAATTACAGGCTGATGGAATTAGATCGAAGGAATGTCATTATCGAGGAGGGGCACATAGACGCCACAAGGGAAAGTGGCTAAATGATGAGCAATTATTCTAAGTGCAATAGCTGTGCATTTAGCAAATGTTTATTAAGGACCTTCTGAATTCAGGGCTGGGAATAGGAAGATGATGATATAAATTACTTAGAGCGGTGGCTTTCAAACTTTTTTTGGCTGTGACCCACAGTAACAAATACATTTTATGTTGCAACCAAGAGTGTGTACATACAAAGCTTCAGAAAACGATTCTTTTTTCCACTCCGGATACACTCTTAATTTCTAAATTCTGTTCTTTTCATTAAAAAAAAAATAATGCTGGTTGAGCTTCTCTAATTTTTTTCTTAACCTATTACATATTTTGACTTGAAGTTTGAAAATAAACACTGATTTAAAATGAGTCATTTGTAGTGTCTTCGGGTTAAGAGTAAAATATGCCCTTAACATTTTTGGAAAAG